TTGTCAATTATCGGAATATTATTTTCTGGCGGTCTTACGTAACGAGTTGTCTTCGTCGGTATTTTTATAAGAAAAGAGTCTCTTTAAAAAGTTTCTTTAAGAAAATAATCTTCTAATCTCTTTTTGATGAGACAACTTATGTCCAACATACCCAATTTTAACTGTACAGTTAAAACTGATATTTGCCTTTACAAAACTGAGATAGGTACAGTTTTACTGACAGTTCGCCTGCGGTTTAACTGCATAGTTCGATTTTTCTAGTTAAAATAGTTGGTGTCTAGCAGGTTTTATGAATTAGATAACATTTAATTTTATAAATTTCAAGTGCTTTGAGATTTTTTGTCACTAACAATGAACTAAAAACGTCTTATTAAATTTGCCAACGTCTTCTTTATATCACTTCGCTTGCGGAATTCGAAGTATTCAATATAGCAAGCTTGTTTGAGTTAATTTCTTGTAATTTTCCTGCTTTAATTATCATTTGCCGCATTGGGTTTTTGCGTATTTAACTTTGTTTATCGAATTAATGGAACTTTATTGATATTCGAAGAAATACGAAAACGATACAATTTGTTGTCGTTTATCTATACATATGTCCATAAAACGTTTTTAATTAAACCCAAAATCTATATATATAAAGGAAAGTCGTGTTAGTTACACTATTTATAACTCAAGAACGGCTTTATTGATACGGCTGAAAATTGGTGAGGGGGTAGCTTAGAGCCAAGAGACGGACATGGGATACTATTAATTCATTTTTTTTTCATACAATATAAATGCGAATGTTTAAATGGATGTGATGTGGATGGATGGGTGGGCTACACTAATTAAGTTTTTTATATATCCACTCGGACGGAGTCGCGGGCGACAACTAGTATGTAATATTATGTATATGTTTACCGATATTTAGGGGTGGCAGCAACGTAAATAAATGGAGTCATTGACATAATAACTTTTTAACTTTAATAATTAATTTGTTCGCTTTCTCTCCTTGTTAATACAATTTACAACAATTATTATATCATACAAAACTACACATTTACCATATTTGCCTTTCCATGTACTTAGTAACTTACATATTAACTATATACATCTATGTCTTGTTTGCAAATGTAAATAAAAATGTTTGCAAACAATAGCACTCCTATTGGTAATCAGTATACAAACACTTTAGTGTATTGTCCCACGATTGTCTTCCTTCAAACAATCAAAAAACAAATCCCTTCGAAAAATTAAACTGTTGGGAAACCGCAAAATGACTACAAATCTTGCATGGATGACTCAACTCACTTAAATCATAAACTATTCCTCAATCAGCCACATCTATTTTAAACTTGTTCGATATCTTCGTTTTCTTTCTACCCTTCATGGGCCTCTTGTTGCTGTGTCCAATGCTCTTCCGCAGCCGATACTGCAGAATATGGAGTTGTGTGTCGCCCGACACTCGCACTCGTATATCCTTTTTTGGGTAAATGCGGCTCGTGAAGACTACGTCCCCATCACCACAGAACAACTCCACAGAGCTACCATCCATAAAAATCCGCCAGTGTATGTAGCCGTTGGGCGCCCACTCAGCTATACGCAGCCCATCCGGCCCGCCACGATCTAAGCTCACGTGAGCATGGTCCGCGTGGTACCCGATGGATAACCTACCGTCTAACCCCCACTCAAAAATCAGCCCAACGTACGAAACTATTGCACTCGAATTCACTATTAACTCGAAAGATTTCGTCCCGGCGATAAACATCTCTCCGGGTCCGTACCACGCGTCCTCCAAGATCTCCGCGCGCAGCTCCACCATCTCCCGCACAGGCGTCATGATGAGCCGGCTCGAATCCGATAGACGTAATTCTCTTACAATCGTCAACATACTAGCCCAACCGTCTTTGGACTCGAGAAACTCACTTCCCCACATCCCGAGCCACGCCACCAGCAGTCTTCTGCCATCCGTAGAGAGCATGGTCTTTGCCGCATAGAAATCGTGTCCATAATCCAGCTCAGTGAAAGTCGTCGTCGATATTTCCAAATCTTCAAATTGCCCCAGCACATAATCGAAATTACCGACGACGTAACCCGTTTGGTAAGGATTCCTGAATCTGTATCCTTCGCCTTTGATACCCTGCACCGAAAATATCAAAATATGTTGTCCATCCATTAAAAACATATCGGGATTTTCCCACATGCTTCCCATGTCCCCCATGGACTCCGCTATCGTGCCATCCAGCTTCCAGTTAAACATGTCGCCGGAGGTGTACAGTATTAACTTTCCATTTCCTTCTCTCGAGGTCGTCCCAATCATCATATACCAAGTGTTACGAAATTTCCAAACTCTTGGGTTTCTGAATTCGCCCACACCATGCGGAGCTTCTCTTATGATAGGGTTGTATATATATTTTTGGAACACGACTCCGTCACCGCTCAGTGCTAGGTTCTGCGTCTGGAATGTTTCGTTGTCTGCTATGACGGTTCCGGTATAGAATAAAGTAAGATAATCGTTATGCACTAGTGCGGTTCCGGATTGGCAGCCGTGCATTTCGTAATACTCCCTCGGCACGATCGCCGGGGGAAAGTGGGTCCAGTCCACGAGGTTAATGCTGACAGCGTGCCCCCAGTGAATGTGACCCCAGTAGCCATTGTACGGATGGAACTGGAAGAACATGTGGTACTGCTTTTTAAAGAAAGCAAAGCCAGTCGGATCACTGACCCATCCGTTGGGAGATGATATATGGTATATCGGTCTATACTTCTTCTTTCCGGCATGTTTATTTCTCTTGACATATGCTTCGACGTGCGACAAGCCGTTCGCGAACTCCGGAACGACAACGGCCAGCCACAGGAGCGGCACGCAGAGTTCCATCAGGACTGGAGTTCGCGCGGGTACTAACCATCATGTTTGTGACGAAATGTTTTGAATAACAACATAGACAATAGACGGCATCATCAGCCGGTACACAATGTTACACGGACTCACTTTGCGGACACCAAAAATAAACAGTTACGCAATTTGAATTAGGAAAGAATCAATATTCATAAGACAGAAATCATTGCACACAATATTCAGATGGTTTCATATTAATCCATTAGTGCATAACGTTCGATAAATCGGACGCCAATTAAATTGTTATAGGAGTTATATATATTTTACTAACCGTTTATTTTTTTAAACAGTAGTGTAATATATATTTGAAGTGGTAATACTGTTGTTATGACATTCCGGGAAGCATAACGTCCGATTTGTCGGACGGGCTATAAAATCTAAACTTTCATATTGACTAAATATTTTATATAATTTAATGGTAAAATTCACTCGAAATGAAATTATATTACTTACAGTGATCATAAGGAAAAAGGCGTTAATAAACTTTATGCACTAATGGGTTAACATAGTATTTGCTTTATTAATCAACATTTTTTTTTTGAACGAGGAACAATGTATTCCAATTGATTATCTGCAACTTGAAATAATAAAAGTCTTGTTCATTATTAAATTATTAAACTTTATTTTATAAAGTCTTAAAACTATAAAAATAAATGTCATTGATGTTTCCAATTTGACAAAAAGAACAGTTTTCTGTAAATGATATTAAATATATCACAGTATATATTCACGTTTGGTAATATTTCAACACTGGAATTACAAATTTTCTAGTAAACAAATAAAATCTGATTTTGTTAGTCAAACATAACCTAGACAAAACATGTATCTTATATATATCTTATAATATCTTATATACATATAAAATTCGAGAAAAATATGATAATTTATTGTTAAATTTAGTATTGAATACAAAGTCTTTAATTATCTGACTCGAAGGACCTCGAGCTACCAATGAGCTACGCTGCAAAAATAATTGTTTTTTTAATTTCCCCACTAAGCTGTCGATTTGCTTTGTAAATAGCAGCTAGGATTTTTAGTAATTTTATATATTTAATAATTTTCAAACAGATTGTGTCCAAAAAATTTTTTATTCATAACATTTCAAAGTAAGTCAATTTTAATAGTCAACTATTAGGGTGTTTCCTATTGGGTCGATCGGCCTACCGATCAATCAGCTCAATAGGTAACAGCCAACATTATTTGCTTGCTCAAACAACATAAAATATACTCAAAAAATACATAATTGATATATCCAAAACCATGTTCTTAATTAAAAAAAAAAACTTAACACCAATTCCACGTAACATTTTTTTATTCATTTCATTCTTGGAAGACAATTTTTTTTATGTTAATTTACTAATATTTCTTGCACCATTCCAACTAAGCTCCACTTGCGCTCGGACATGGTTTACCTGACCACATGATCGGAAATCCGTACCCTTAACCACTAGGCTATTGAGGACTAAAATATATGTCTTTTATTATTCTAAGATTATATATTAATAAATGTATATAGAGGCCTTTATATAGCAGCCATAATTAATAACTATATCTTTGTAAAAAGCACCATATTATACGTGAGTCAATTCATCTTATATATGTAAGCTATAAAATCATATAAATGAATGATTATATAAATATAAAATGCCCTACCGTTGGTTTCTCAAACCAAAATCTCTATATAAAACAACGTCATCCGTCAATATCTTTTACAAAACCTATAAAATATTTTAAACGAAGATTTTGGTCTCAGAAAGCCACTGTTATTCCTTCTCATAAAATTCGGTTATCTTTTATTATGCTTGAGTTATTTTTTTGGAGTATTACGATAAAGTTGTCTTCATAAAACTATAAATATAGAATACTGTATTTATGTATAATTCTCTCATTCTTAAAATAAATAATAAAATATTTGTATAATTTTAATTCATTCGAGGCAACAGATATAATAATATTAACATCGTAAAAGATTAACAAAGCGAGAAAATAAAGCTTTAAAGTAGAAATATGTTGGACAAAATTTCTACTTTAAAGCTGTTATAACGTGTGTGACTGTTTTTTATTTAATTTTAAGGATTTAAGCATTTAAAATATTGTGATAAATAAAAAATGAAAACCGGTATTGTTGTTCTAAAAGTTTTCGCACTAAATTGGAACAAAAGTGACACGAAAAATCAAGTATTATTTATTTCAAACGAAAGCCTAATATAAACAATGCATCTCATCTCACATATTAGGCCAAAATTTACAATATCCAAAATATAAACATAATTCATGTAACAATTTGACAATCACTAATCTATGATGGCCGCCATGTTGAAATTTGTCAGTTTACTACATTAGAGCTTTCATTTGAAACAGATTATATGCATATGTGATAGTTATTTTGTTTTGTTTGTATGTGTGTATGTGAGAGCGGAGTGCAGGTCGGCCCACAGTGTGGCAATGCGCGAGTGTGCGACGCCGTGCGTGCGCAGCGGCTCCTGCAGGCATTCCAGCGCCGCCAGTGCGTACGCGCGAGCCACGCGGCTCTCCTTCATTGTGTACCACAAATCTCATAAATATACACGTTTTAAACATAAGGAAATAACTATAAGTAGTTAAGATAGAACTAGTAAATAAAAGATATTACTTTTATTTTGATAAAGAAGAAATTCATTTAAATATTTCTTTTAAACTGCCTTTTATAGATAATCAAAATGTATGGTAAAAATCTTTACATTTGTAAACAGTGACAATCATAAGAATCAAAGCTCTATCAAACGAACGGTTTGGTTAAACTTAAGCTAAATGACATAAAAAATCTTAATATCGTTTATGACAGAACAGTTCATATAAAGATCGAGAATTAAAAAGAAAGTTTACCTCTAAGCAGCAGGTAAGGGCAAACCGATGTCGTTTGCGCAATAAGGTGGCGGCGGCCGAGTGCGCCTGCGCAGCTGCAGCGGCCGCGCGCTCGCCGTGCAGCCCGCGCGTCAGCCGCCCGCATAGCTCCCTGACACACATACACCCACACTCACACACACATATCTAATATGAACAGAAGTGAGATACACTTGGAGTGACGTCTCACTCAGTCAATTGTTGACTGTCGCGCGGCGTTCGTGAAAAAATGTATCCCTGCGCGTCCATCGCAGCGAAACATTTTTTTTAAATTATCAAGGAATTTTATTCCATAACTTCAAATAAATTTCTTATGTAGGCACAACAGATTACTTTTATTTTTAAGTTTGAAAATATAGAGAAATTTATAAAGAATTAAAATAGCACACCTGTACGCTCCGAGGGCATCTAAGGCCAGCAGTATTTTAGCACCTGCGCCGTACTCATAGTCCACCTCCTCTATGGAAGATTCACCCATTGTTGTAGCTAGACTGATGAATTAAAGATAAAAAACCTATTTCATATTTGCGTGTCAGTTCCATAGTGTCCTAGAATGGGTCTAAACAAATTATTTCCCAACTTACTCAGCAGCAGTCTTGATGGCATGCCTGACGGCGAGCCAGGCGGGGGGCTCTGCGGGCGCGGTGGCGAGCGCGCTCAGCGCCGCGCCCAGCTCCCTGATGTCCGCGCGCTCCGCCTCGCACCGACCCCCCACTGATAATACACAACCGTACCATATTACCTGATCACTTACAGATATTTATATTTCTTGTAGGCATTGGTCCATGTGCTAAAACAGTTATAAACTAAAATATAAAGTACTAAAACACTCATGTATATTTATGCAGTGTCGGCACCGACTAGTTTCGAGGTCGTCGGTTCCCTTCATATGGGTAAGGGCTCAAAACTTGACATATGAACATAGTAGTCGGTGCCGACACTGGACGAACATACGTGTTTTAGCCGTTCATATATTAAATTATGCTCATATCTCACGAAAGTTTGAATAATTTATAATGGTTATGATTACTTTCTTTCATGGTTGAAAAAGTAGACACGTATTGGAAAGGGAACTTTAATAAGTACAAAAAATAGTAAAATTCAATCTAGGCAGACATTTGATGTGATAATTTTAATTACAACCAACCTCTTTCGAATATTTTATATAATCTGTTAAGTCCTAGCTGCACCAAACGTAGCTGCTCCTGCTCTGATACGAAAGCTGCCTGCATTTCATCTATAGAAATTTGGGCCTGGAAAGAACAATTTGTTTTTTTTTAATTTTAAAAAATAAAAGAAACTTGAGTTATTATTTTTAACACTACTGTGTCAGTTCAGATAACAGAGTTCATAGGTCACATTTTAAAAGGATTTTTACAGGCGCGGAGCCATCTCTTTAAAGAAGAACGAACTTACTGGAGATTCATCTTGGGTACCAGCCAGTACGAATTCATCATGCTTCGGCTTATCCAACCTTGAAGACGATTCACAGAGGAAGGTACGTAAGTCTGCGTCGTGCGCGAGCACCGGATGTCGCGCCACGAGGGTCAGCCAACGCTGGAGCGCTGCTCGTCGCCGCTGCAGGAAAACAGGGCTGCCACCGCCGACTACCACGCGTTTAGGTGGCAAGCGGCATACAGCGCTGTTACAATCGATTTATATAATGCCGTCGCACAGTAGTGCTCACTGGCGCCAGTTAGTGTTCACATTATGCCAATTGTATGCCAGCTCTGATCTTAAGCGCTACTATCCTACTATACTGGCATAATGTAAACCAAACACAACTGACAAGACCTCTGTAGACATGAAATATGGTGGCCAGTATTACTTGGCGAATAATACTGGCCGCTAAGATTTTTTCTTTTTAGGGTTTTTATCAATCAGTGCATTTTTAAAACTTAACACTGACTACTAACACGCCCTTAGTTGCTAAATACTACAACATCTAAGCCGACAGTTTTGAGATTAAGCAAAACTACACAAAAACTACTATCGCTTTAAATTATTACCTAGTATTTCCATCAACATCAAATTAAACAAAAAATATGTATTATTTTTTAAGTTTATTATGATAATAAGCTCTACAATGTAATAAATGGGATAAATATTTTTTTTTATCAACAAACAATTAATTGAACCAAGGTCAGTTAGTTCACAATGATAGTGATAAAAACATACATAATTGCAAAGGTTTATTTTTACCAGAGAACGACAAAACAAACTGATTGTTTACTCGATGATTAAATGTAGCTTAATACTATCAAGCATTTTTAAATTTAGTAGCAAACCGGATGTTATGAAATTGTTGTCAACATACACATGTGTGGTTAAGGGTATTTTAACATATATTATTATAGTAATTTCCAAATAACTATGAATGTTATTCATTAAACAACCAGAGTGCCTAAGATTTGTAATCTCTAACCATTCTTCTGAGTAACAAACATGAATAGCATTCACCATATTGATGTTAAGACATAATAAAAACAGTTATCTTAATAATTACACATCTATATATATAAAAGAAAGTCGTGTTAGTTACACTATTTATTACTCAAGAACAGCTTTATCGATATGGTTGAAAATTGGTGAGGAGGGAGCTTAGAACATGGAGATGGACATAGGATACTATTTATTATATTTTTTTCGAATTTATGCCTTTTTATTTAACTTACTAATATTATAAATGCGAATGTTTAGATGGATGGGTGGGCTACACTAATTAAGTTTTTTTTATATATCCACACGGACGGAGTCGCGGGTAACAGATAGTATGTATTATAATAAAATTTATTTACTTACCGATAAGGATATTTAGCACAAAAAACATCACACAGTTGAACAAACTCATTATATCTGCGGGTCACAGTTGTTCCGTGTCTTCTTGAGCTTACGTAATATTCACAATGCTTTAGTATTAATCCTTTACGTTCTGGTACTAATTCTACACTAATTACATCTGTTGCCTCGAGGTCTTCAAATGTTATTATATCCAAATTAGTCATATTTACTTGTTGTAACTGAAAATAATATATGATATAAAAAATAAGGTGTAATATGCTTATATCATATGCCTGATAAAAAAATGTATGTTGCAAAAGTGGGTGGAAATATGCGAAAATATATATTCACTACAAACATTGGATTCATTTTAAACTGTTATGTATTAAAAACTCCATCCTATACACAATCCAATTCAATGAAAAATATTATTGATGTATTAGAATAAAATTGGTGCAATAGAAAATGTAACTTTCATATTTTAGTTGCGAGACACAGAGATTCTAATGATGGGAAGAAAATAATTGAGTAAAACATTGTATCACCGCACCATGACAGTCTAAGACCTAGTGTTAATTATTTCTAATATAAGTTTTTTGATTAAATTGATAATTTGTTCTCAAATAATGTGCAAAACTGTCTACTTTCATGTTTATTTCTTTGGCCTGTTCTGAAGTTCTTATTTATTGTGAATAAGATAAACTTGGGATGATCCCAAATTGTCCATTTCATCATTAGGAGGAATCTTTTAAAACAAACGATTGATTTTAAAAATTTGTCCTATAATTTAATGTGATTAATAAAATTATTTTTATAGGACAAACTTAAAAAAAGGTAAATTGATTTGCGTAAAAATAATTAAGCATAAACTTACTTGTCTTTTTTTTAAGTATTTGTTTTGTCAAACTTTAAATGATCCAAACTAAGTCAAAATTAAGTTAGAACTAAGTAAAACATTTGCAACTTTCAAATCGTAATAAGAATCAATTTCCAAACTTTCTTTGGCATTAATTTCGGCAACAGTACAGCTGAAAAGGAACTTTGTTTATTTTATTTACAATGTCACTTTTATAATTAAAATAAACCTTTAGAAATATTTCGTAAATAAAATTCCGCCAGCGCGGAAAAGTTAAGTCACGTTCAGAAATTAGCAACTTTGTTCGGTTCGGAAACCTCAATTTCATATAATTTGATATTTCCAAAAAAAAAATATTATCACTTACTTATTATTTTGTAAAAGTCCTTGTTGTATTAATTCAACTCGTGATATATAAAATGCCCCAGTTTCTATTAATTCACCGTGCCAGTCTTGTCTCCGCGGTCTTCTAACACTATCGAAGTTTTTCGGAATAAGCTTTCCGTTCACGAAGTTCCACCGTAGTTTGAAGCTTCTAAAATACATTTCTTTTTCATTTTCAATTCGTTAACTGCTATATTTATTTATTAAAAGTGCCAAATACCTTGTCACTGCAAACACACAATCATAAGGTTTTGGGTAATTCAATTTCCTAATAGCATCTTTAAGATTCAAGTACGAAATAAAAGGAGAAGTCGCTTGAATTAAAACTATTACTTTTGCTTTTGGTGTGGAGGCAATAAATTCCTCCACGCCCCAAATTGACGGAGCAAAATGTGATGCTGTTATAAAACTTCGTCGAAAAGGTGAAGCACCATCTAAAACAGTTCACGTTTTTATTAAAACCCCCAAAAATACAGTTTTATCACATGAAGATGTATCCCCAAAAACAACTAACATTTCAAAGCTTCCAAAGCAATCAATGGGTGATCAGTAGATACAGTAATGTTTGATAATCCCGCTTTTCTCGCCGTTAAAATAGATCGTGCTAAAAGACTTAAACCACCTACTGTCTGTAGATTTTTAAGTCGTATACCTTTTGAACCTCCTCTGGCTAGTACGAGTGTAACCGTTTCATTATCACACGAAACCATATACCTGAAACATTATTGTAACGGTCAGTGCTATGGGATTTTCTTTAAAAATATAAATTCTTACACGTACAATATTAAAAGAAAAGTAAAGAGAAGCATTTTTGTCTTTTCGTTTACTTTTTATACTGATCCCATGTAACATACGATAAAAGTATCTAATCTATCACTAACTTGCTCAATAAGCAACATCCGTTATTACAAACTCGTACCAAGTGAAAGAAGTAGATCAATAATAAAACATAATATTATTCAATCAGCACCCTAGTTTTATGTAATTTATCGATTACTATTATATTAATGTAGATTTTTTGTTATAATATTATAATACATATAACAAATTTACTGACATAAATGTGATGTAAATTATTAATAATTCTGTAAAATTTCCAGAAAAGATAAATAAGTATTATTTTCTACGCAGAGTTGTATTCCTAGTCAAAATCTACAATACTTTTGGGTACCACCACTTCTTCCCTACTGCTAATTTTTGTAAGTGGCATGTCGCATGTCGCACATGTCGCTATAATCTTGAAGTAACAACTGTCAACGTCAACGTAGTTCAATTCTCAACCAATATACTCTTTGGTTGTCTATTGACATTGTCATGTTTTCAAAGCGGAGACTTTTGATGAAAAGAAAAAAACATATTTATGTACAAAAAATACAAAAAACTTTGTATTCAAATTGTTAAGTACGACGAAAGTTTATTACTGTAGTAATATAAAGTGTTTTAGTATAACATTGTGTCGATTAAATAGTCAGGTTAGTATTTTGGAAAGAAACAAGTAAATAATTTGGAGTACCTGACACTGTGCAATTGTAATATGAATAGTGTAGCAGAAATTGAACAAGAAATAAAAAGTGTTGAAAAAGAGCTTAATAAGGTCGGTAGCGAGATAGCAAAATGGAAAAACCGGCAACGCGAGTTGCAAGAAAAGAAAACGTTATTGAGAAAAACAATAGATAAGATTAAATCTGAATCATTAGCAAAAGTGGATTGGGCTGGAACTACTTACGAATGGTCAGAAGACGTTAACAGGGTTCTCCGCCATACTTTTAAACTAAATTCATTTCGACCTAAACAGTTGAGTGCTATTAACTCAACAATAGCAGGACAACATGCCTTAGTTGTGATGCCGACAGGTGCTGGCAAAAGTTTGTGCTATCAATTACCAGCTCTGATAAAACCTGGCATAACAATTGTCATTTCACCCCTCATTTCTTTAATGGAAGATCAAGTAAGGTTATTGACTATCAGAAACATTCCCGCAAAACTTATAACAAGCACAACTTCAAGAGATGAAACAACAGCAGTTTTAAATTTACTTAAAGACAAAAATACACCCATAAAATTACTATATGTTACACCTGAAAGACTTGCAAAGAGTAAGATGTTCATGGCTAATTTGCAAAAGTGTTACGCAGATGGTAGGCTGCAAAGAATAGCCATAGATGAGGTTCACTGCTGTTCACAATGGGGACATGATTTTCGGCCAGATTATAAATTTTTAGGAATATTATCTGGTATGTTTCCTAATGTACCCATTCTAGGTTTGACTGCAACAGCAACTGCACATGTATTAAATGATGTACAAAAAATACTAAACATACAAGGATGTTTAGTTATTAAATCCACCTTTAACAGACCTAATTTATTTTACAAAATATTAGAAAAACCAACCTCTCAAGAGGAATGTGTTACAATTCTAGAGAAACTCTTGAAGTTTAGATATAAAGGTGAGAGTGGTATTATTTATACAAATAGTATAAAGGAATGTCAGGATTTGGCGGAAGAATTACGAAAAAGAGGGTTAAAAGTAGGTTGTTATCATGCTCAAATGGAAGCATGTAGTAGAAGCAAAGTTCACAGTAAATGGCATGACAAATACTATCAAGCAATTGTGGCAACTGTTGCTTTTGGAATGGGTATTGACAAACCTGATGTTAGGTTTATAATACATCATACAATAAGTAAATCCATGGAGAACTATTACCAAGAAAGTGGCAGAGCTGGTAGAGATGGTAAGCGGGCAGAATGTGTGACATTATTTAGAATGCAGGACATTTTTAAAGTGAGTCCGATGGTATTCTCATCTGCTGGCAATTTGGACAAATTGTATGGTATGATCAAGTACTGTCTTAATGGGAAATACTGCAGGAGACAGCTTATTGCGGAGCATTTTGAAGAAGATTGGGGATTAGCAGATTGTAATAAAATGTGTGATGTTTGCACTAATCCTTGTTCTGTTTTAAAAGAAATAAGTCTTGAAAATCACTGTCAGGCTATATCATGTGTATTTGATAAAGCTGAGAGCACTGACACAAAACTAACAGCACAAAAGTTGCTGAGTGCTTGGTTCTTGACGGGTCCAGTTAATCTAAGACATAAATGTGTAGAACCTAAATTCTCACGTAATTTAGGTGAAGATGTAATTGCATTTTTATTAATTAACGGATATATTGTGGAAGATTTTCATTTCACACCTTACTCAACAATATCTTATTTAAAAAAAGGTCCAAACATGGAGTCTGTGACTGATGTTGATTTTTCATTGAAAATGACAGTCAGAAAGTATTCAAATTTTGATTTGGATAGACCAGCTCCGAGAGATTTAGAATCAAAAGAATCTAGTAATGATGAGGTGAGACAAGAGAGCCCAGAAAAAAGCAAAAAGGTATCTCCAATTGCAGAACCAAAAGCCAAAAAATCAAAAAGACTTATCATTGATAGTGATGAAGATTAACATTTTGTATGCCACAAATTTTTTGTTTTGCTCTGTCTGTTACTAAGATGGATTCAATGTATCTACTACAATAATCAGTGAAAAACTTATATCACTTTATTATGTAATGTACATAAACCTAATGTAAGTTATATGTAAATAAAAACAATGATATACAAATTAACAAAATACATTTTTGAGTAAATAAATGTTTATATTACACCAAAAGATTTATCCAACATTACTTTTTTATTATTACTGGACGAAAATGTACATTTATGAAAAGTTTCAAATATAATTAAAAAATGAAATTCAAATTGTATATTGAATCAAACTCTTCGCCGTGGTGTGTACTCCAATGGCGACAATCGGCTGTAAGCGTCGACATTCTCTTCAACTTCTTTATTCTTTTTTGTTGGTCCTTTCTTTAGGACTTTCTTTTCTTTAGATGACGTTGTGCGCTCTAGAAATTTCAAATGATTAACATAATGAAGGTAAATAGTAGATGATAGACAATGAGTAAAATAACCAAGTCTTCCTACCCATTGTTAAGACCCAACATTTCTTCCTCTTCCGGACCATTTGTAAATTGCACTAATTTACAACTCAAATAATAAATCGTAAACATTCTTTTACCTGTATTATCACTATCCTTGCTTCTAACACTTCTTCTACCAGTGTCGAGCACGCTGAATCCCGACCGTCTGGACCTGGCCGACGAGCACTCGCTATCGATGCCCAGGGCGTCCAACGCGCGGATCCTCTCCGCGATCTGGTCCTGTATCACCTCACGATGGAGGTCCGCTTCTCCTAACATCTCCATCTCTGCTAACCAGTCAGCCCGCTCGCGGATTTGTGTCACCACTAGAAGTAGATCGTAAAGAATAAATATATAATAAATGTTCCTTACTATATATAAGTATAATTTGTATTAGAGGCGACATTTGAGAGATGTTATTCCTCTGCACTAAATATAAATAATCTTCAAAGAAAGACGAAGATAAGGCCCCAAAAGAATATCTCCGCCTTTCTTGGAAACTGTTTTTCAAGTCTGGTTTTGGATCTTAAAGAATAAATGACTTACAATCATTCCATTTCTCTTTGTTTGTTGGTAACTTTGGAGGGATTTTGATGGGACGAGCTGGTTTCGGCGGTCGCTGACCTAAGTCTCCGTAGGTCATGAAGTCTGCAAGTCGTTCTTTCAGCTTCTCGCGGTCTTCGCCGCGCTTTAACGGTTTATACCTAACACAAGAAAACTCAATACATAGAAAATATTTTTAATGATGAGGAAAAGAATAGAATTATAACTGTTTCTCCGCACTATTACCATAAATCATGTATTGCTTATCCTTTCATGGAATATTCAATCGTTAACTTTAAAAAAAATTGTTACTCTCAACACTGCTTCAGTCGTAGAACTTACGTATCGGGCTCGAGTACTCCAGAAGCACGTATTGCAGAGAGGGAGCGTCGACATGAAGTACGTGGTCGGAGAATCCTCACGTTCTCTCTCGCTTTGGGCGCTGGTTTCTCTTTGCGGCCGTCGTTTTGACGTAAAGTGAATGCAGTTTTACGACGCTGCTCGATTGTAAACTTTGATTCATCTAACAACACTGTAAATAATATAATTTCGTCACTATACTGAGTGAATTGTTCTTTAAAGAATGGCGTAAGTTTGAAATAAAGAGTATTCAAAACTGTATTTCGTCTCTTTCCGTCCTGGTCTGTTACCTTTTAGAAATGATTGTTGAGCAGGTGAGAAGTCGTGAACTTTTGTGTGAAAGATACCGCCGTGAGGAATATTTTTACTCGGCCAAGTGATATTAACATATCCATTTGAATCAGGCGTTTCCATATTATTTAAAATATTGTAATATTTTCATTACAATATTCTAATTCTATAAAAATAAATAATTCTGGTAATTTAATGAAATACTATTTTAAACGAGGTACGTGACTGTTTTTAAATTTCCCCGGTAACGTTAACATTTCCATGGAAACGGTAATAATAGTTTAATTTCACGCATAAATACTAAAAATATTAAAACAATTTTGTGTTATTTATTTATTTGCAATATTTGAAAGAAATATTCGATGATAAAATATAAATAAAATGTTACTAGGTTTTCTCTAATTAAAATAGTTAATGAACTTGTTAACGTTTTGTTGGCTGTGCCTTTTACATTCTTTCAATTCTCGATTTTAAAAAATACAAAACTTTTTTTCAGGACAATTAAATTTTCTTCTTACAGCGGTAAAACACGTGACTATATAATTATATTTATTAAAGTTAGTAACTAGAAATAAAATGGATAAGTCCCTTGCTACAACTATAGAGGAAATTAAACTCCAAGAACAAAACGCTGAAATTAAATTAAAGGAAAATCGTGATTGTAAGATAATGCATACTTATTCGGGACGTTAATTTAGTTAATACCTATATGTTTAAAATTAGCAATCGTGATCATAAAGTGTCTGAAAATTACAGCGACAGTTTTTTATGTTTATTCTAATTATTATCAAAGGTAGTTTTAGGTTCGGTTTCTTTATTTGGGTTTTCAGAATACAATTTTAATATTAAAATTATTATTTTGCAGTAGAATCAACAATCGCATCTCTTAACAAAAACATAAGAGAGACAGTGATTCAGATAGAGAAATCTGAAAAGGAACAAAGAGAATTAACCAAAATAATTAACAAACTCCGTAGCCAGCTAGAATTAGACAAAATACGCCGTGATGCTTTGTTAGCTCAAATTGAAGCTAGTAGAAAAGAATTAGAAGAATTAAGACGAAAATCGGTATTTTAAAATTAATATCTTAGGGGGGAAAAAAGGAAGTGTTTTAGTATAAGATATTTAAGTATAATTTAATGCACTTTATTATATTAGTAACGATATTGTTTTGGTTCGTTATTCGAATACAGTATTTAATTATGTTATTTTTAGGCACCTATCTGATTGTTTTGTAATTGATTTTAAGGTACAGTAATAAGACTTTTATTGTGGTCAGGACGAAGGTATTACGACGGTTTGGAATATACGGTCATCTCTATGCAATGCGGTACATATGGCGTCGGATAATTATGATGTTATGGCACTTCTTATGAAACCGAAATCGGTGGTAACATTGCCAAAAGCTAAAACCCTCCCAGTTAAAGAAGTGGGCGAGTTTGATAGAAAGCTTAAAGAAGTAACGCAAAGAAAACAAAACGCCGTAAAAGACCGAGATCGGCTGTTGAATGAACCAGAAACAGGCCACGAATTTGTTAGGTATTCTATTTACAAAAATCGGTTTATTTTATCTTTGTATTACAGCTGCAGTCGAAGTCAACGTAGGTGAAGGAAAATTGCACTTTAGTACATTTAATTGTAACTTGTTAAGTTTCACCGAAGCTCAGTAATTTCTTCACACTTTGCGGGAAAAACTAAATACCTTTCGAATGTACATTTAATTCTTTGTTCTTTTAGGATAAAAAATGCATTGGAGTTTTCCCTTGAAAAGATTTCCAGTCTTCGTAGCAATTAAAATTTAAGTTTAATAAACGGTTTATTTGATTGCTTAGTTTTATTTGTGTTACTTAATTGTGCAGAATAAATAAAATGTAATATAAAGTAATAAATAATTTCAAGAGAGCTTAAGATCTCAACAACAGGCTGCACTTTGGCTTTCCGCTCGCACCGCACTGTCAGTGTCAAAATCATCTGGGAAATGTGCATGTCAATCTGTCAGACGAACCAATTATGTTTAGAAATATACCTATATTTACATAAAGTTTCAACGATTTAAACAGCATATTCAAGATACTAAACACACAAAATGAACAGAAGCTTGTTTCTAGTAAGGTACAGTTAAGCTTAATTGATTTTGTGATGTTATTTTTATTTGTATGAAGGTAGTTTTAAGCTTTCCAATGATCTGACCTTTTTATAAGAGTTAACAGCGATACGGGAAGTGCTAGTAGGTATTAACAAGCTAAAGATGACACCGGACTTATGACAAAACGACGAAAGCGGAGAAAGAATCCAAAGTAATCTTTGTAGTAGCAGCTCCTATGATTCAATGTTTTCCTTGTTATATAATTTTAACAAACATGTCTTACATCGAAACCCTGTAGACAACGGTCAATATTAAGTTAATGTTTCAAAAGTGCCTATAACATTGCAAATTTTGCATAACCATGGTCACATGAATGCATTGATCACAATAAAAATAATTCCAACTGTAATTCCTGGTAAATATTATGAGGATAGCAGACGTCTTTGGTTGCACAATACTTGATTGATATGACTCATACCAATGTTGTTGTTAATTTGAATCTTAACATACAACTTGTTAATGCCTGAGTAATGTTTAAAATCATTTCTTTATTGACATACTAAAAGTTGTTCTTAAGAGTACTAAATTATTTAACTATTCTGTACCTAAGAAGAATACAAAGGCAACAAGTCTAGCAGAGTAAAACAAGGATATCCTTTTTATGGCTATGGTTACATTTACTGTATCTGAATAGTTTATAAATATACTAACTGTTGTCAATGACTTCATCCACATCGAATAAAAAAAACTTAATAAGTAGCTTATGTGTACCAAATTTCATCAAATTTTGTTGAGCCGTCCCAGAGACACCTTCAAACAAACATCCAACCATCCATTTGAACATTTGCATTTATATCAGTAAGATAAATCAACATATCAAACCTTCATTGAGAGTATGAAATTCGTTAGGTTTTAAATAGCTTTATATTTTTAGAAGCTGCTTCAGACGTCATAATGCAAGAACCTTCTCAAGTCGTAATGTAGAAGTAAATGAAAATGAACCTATAAAATTTTCAACTAGCGGTGCTGCAGCAAAAAAAACCATAAGACCCATTAAAAATATCAAAATTGATATGCCATGGTATCAACCTTATTGTGTTATAGGCAGTGTTACCATATTCCTGCTTTATTTCTGCATATTGAGAGAAGAGAATGATATTGATCTTGAATTTAATAAATCACTATATGAAAGAATTCAAGGTTTGGAAAAGACGCAATTGCTTTTATCTTATAAACATAACAAAGAGCATGGCAAAAGTGTTTTAGAAATTGAAAGAAGACTAAAAGAAATAGAAGAGGAAGAGAAAATGAAAGAAGCAAATACAGTAGAATAAGCTGGATTTTCCATAGAAATTAAATTAACCCAATGAATATTTTATTTATTGTAACTACTGTATTCTTCTATATAACATTTACTGATATTAATATTTTAAAATTATGTTATATCCCTACTTTTTGCTAATTAGCTTAATATGTAGTTGATTAAGATTTCGCGCAATGTAATAAACATTAAAATATCAATGTCTTTTTATTTAAACTGAACTGAAAATATTTGTTTTATAGTGATATGATTAAATAGTAATGTTAGGAGAATGATAATTAAAACAAAAGATAAGTCCTAATTATATTTATTAACACCAATTTCTCAATACAAGTTTACATTAGTGCAGTTTTTAGTATGGAATGGTCACATACTGGTGGCCAATATTGTCTATTACTATTATGCTACTTAGAATTACCAAGTTACTAAGAATTACATTGATATATTGAATGACGACATAACAGATACTTATGTCATACTAACATCAAATACAAAGAAACTTATATATTAAGAACATATTTATAAAAATCAGTTCTGCTGCCTCCTTACAATAATGATTAAGAGACTTAAATGAATTAAATGTGAGATGTTAAACAATGTTAGAATTTATATCTAATTGAATTACAAATAATTTATAAGATACATTATAATTAAACCGAGTTTAAGCACGTTCTCCGCGGATTCGTCGCGCTAGTTGAATATCCTTGGGCATGATGGTTACGCGCTTGGCGTGGATGGCGCACAAGTTGGTGTCTTCAAACAGACCCACCAGATATGCCTCACTAGCTTCCTGAAAATAAAACATTCCTTTCATTAGTCTCACAATAATCTAACAAAACATATCCAAGTAAAGTTTGATTGAATTAAATCCCACCTGCAACGCTCCAATGGCGGCAGACTGGAACCGAAGATCAGTCTTAAAATCTTGAGCAATTTCTCTCACAAGACGTTGGAACGGCAGTTTACGGATGAGCAATTCAGTAGATTTCTGGTAACGACGAATTTCTCGGAGGGCTACTGTACCCGGGCGATAACGATGAGGTTTCTTGACACCTCCAGTGCTAGGCGCCGATTTTCGCGCGGCTTTGGTAGCTAATTGTTTGCGAGGTGCTTTACCTCCTGTGGATTTACGAGCGGTCTGCTTGGTACGTGCCATATTTCACTAAAACAGAAATAAAACTGATTTTCAACGATTGCCAATCACAATAAAACATTGCACCAATTGCAAATATTTTGAAATTTTTACATTTGTGAATCGGGCTAAAGATAAGCAAAATTTCAATGTTACAAACGTAGATTAAGATATATTACGTTCTTTTACACACCTTTTTACAGAAAAAGTAAAGTTACAATATATTTATAAGAAATTTAAGACGAGGGTCACAACAATGATCATATGCTAAAGATGGCGTCGAGAGAATGGCGGGCGAAGAGCGACGCCAATTTTATGAACAGTGATTGGCCAGGTTAGTGGCGTTTCCAACGTTACTATTGGTTGTAAAAGTAAGCTTTCCGATTGGTCGTAGTTTTTAACGGATTAAAATATTGTTCAACCATTGGACAGTGATTGGGCAACGTTAATATTGGACTTGTGTTGGAGCATTAAAAAATGTTTAAGTTTATAGAGTATATCAGGGGCTTTTTAAATAATCAAAAAAATATTTATAACTTAAGAACAGAAAATAATTTAGTTTAATGTGAAAAATTTATTAACAGCATTTTTCGAATCTGTACTAAAAAAAACGTTAAATTAATAAGAAAAAAAATAAAGTCGGATTGGTTGGTTATTAAGCTACTTTTGCATTCTTAGCGAAAAATTCCTAATTTGTTACAAAAAGATCTTAAAATTAAAAAGGACAAAGTTTTCCCTTATTTTTACTATATAAATCTTGGTTTTTTTTTGTTGTTTTGATACCTACTTTCCAAACAAAAATGGATCGATTCGACCTATTTTTTGTCTTAGTCATACTTATGAATTTTTGAAGGCGTCAAAAAGAGATAAAAGGAAAACATGAGACGTGACATTTCTGTCAATGTTGATTACATTTGTAGGTATTTTTTATATCTTGTGCATTGTAGCTTGTTTGTTGAGATAACGAAATATTTTAAGTTCAAGGTCATTTAAAATTAAAATGTTTGCTTCTCTTGAAGAAAATCTTCTTCATTTATTTCATTATTTACAATTAATAGCTTTCTAAAATACTGAGTATCACGTGATCATATATATTGAATTTTAATTGGTCATCGGTGAGCGTGCCCTGCGCGACGCGAGAGGCGCAATACATAATAGTTCACCAAAATGCCGTCGGAATCTAAGCCTTTGTTGACAGCTCAAACAGAAAAACCGAATCATTATAAGTAATTAGTTATTTCTTTTATAGTTTTTTATCGGAAGTGCCTCCTCGAAAGGTATAGTTTATTGGAGTATACAATATACTAAGTTCAGTGATGTCGTGTTGCAGATATTTGAAGGAATTCCGAGTGGAGCAGTGTCCATCATTTCTTCAACATAAATGTACACAACATAGACCTTTTACATGTTTTCATTGGCATTTTAATAATCAGAGAAGAAGAAGGCCCGTTAGAAAAAGAGATGGATCATTTAATTATAGCGCTGACAATTATTGTGCCAAGTATAACGAGACATCGGGCATTTGCGAAGACGGCGATGAGTGAGTGCCTTGTCTTACATTGCTTTGTTGTACCGCCACTTCCTTTTTCTTTTACTGTCGATGTATAATTGTTTTCACGAGTCGTTGAAGACTTGTTTTTATTATTGAAATGCAATTTGAATATGCATTCTTATTAACATTTTGATTGGTTTTATTCTCTTTGTTAATATACTATGGTAAAATGTTTGGAAAGTTGTTGTAACTATACAATGGGAAGGATTTCAACCTATTTTTATTTTTGAAATTATTTTTTTGGGTTATATTGTTTAGAAATATATTTACAAAACATCTATAGTTTGCTGTATGGTATATATAAAATATATGTTTTTGCAACTAAAGTTCTAATATGAATAAGTAAATGGAGATAAACTCACATACATTTTAACAACGAAAAGAGATACTTTGTAATTAAATGAAATAATATTTACCAGATTACAATTTATATCTAGTACATGGAAAATGCATATAAGACTTTTAAATGAGCTTTTACAATAAAAGTATGCTGTAAATGAAAACAAATAGCTTTCAATGTCAATGGAAAATATTATTTTTCTCTACATTCCCTCCAATGTCAAAGGCAGGCAATGCATTTGCAAGTGTGTATTATAGGCAATGGTTGCTTCCCTAGTTCAGCAATTTCAGGTGACCATTCACTAATTTGCCACCGTATGATATAAAAAAAAATCTGGATAGCTATGATATAAATGAAACATCATGATTGCTTGGAACATTGTACAAGATGTAAAGGGTTATGGGGGAGGTTGTACTGCGCACTGCATAGCTGACCTTGAGCCTTTAAAAATTATTATTCAGTGATCTCTATAAATGGATCTGAGATTGTTTTGAAAGTGACTGCTTATAATAAGTTCCGAATTAAACGCATCTGTTGATGTTACGTGCCAGTTGATAGAATATATATTATAAGTTTGAATCCACACAACCGCTAAAACCACACGCTACCATCAGCGCCGGATTTTCGAAAATCTAATAAGCACAAAATACTATATTGTATAGCCAATCCATTTATAGAGGTCAGTGATTGATGTGGATAGTAACTACTTGGAAGTCGTAACTTATTCAATTATAATAGTAGAGATTGTTCTTAAACATTTTATTTTCCCCTCCCAGGTGCCCATACCTTCATAGAACAGCAGGGGACACGGAAAGACGTTACCATCTGCGGTATTACAAAACATGTATGTGCGTCCATGATACGGATGCTCGTGGACTTTGTACCAAAAATGGCGCACATTGTGCCTTTGCACATGGTGCACCAGATTTGCGTCCCCCTGTACTTGATGTTAGGGAACTTCAAGCTTTAGAAAATCCGGAAGGTGCGGATGGAGATGCCGCAGCACCCAATGCTCTTGATAGAGAAAGGAATTTAATGAATGAAGATCCAAAGTGGCAAGGTTTGTATTTGAAATGTAGTATCAAATAAAATTTGGTATTATTATATATTGAATGACATTTTTCACATTATTTACTTTATATATATATATTTTTCTAGTATATATATGTGATTAGATGTAAGAATATTTTGCTACGGTTTTTTTCTATTTCAGATACAAATTACGTGTTATCATCATATAAAACAGAGCCTTGTAAAAGACCGCCTAGGTTATGTAGACAAGGGTATGCCTGCCCGCAGTATCACAATAGTAAAGTGAGTTTTATTTTTATATTTAAGAATTATTATTCTTAATCTCTGAGTATCTATGAAATATTACTCTGAGTTGAATTAATGTATTTATAGAAAATCATACAATTAGAATTTTTAACAATTTGTTTTTAAATAAAGCAAAGATTGATGAACATTACAGGCTATATTCATTGACAATTATATAAACAAAATGTTTTGTAGAACTTTCACAGGAATATGGACAAAAAGTATCTCTTACTTGTTTCATGTAACATTTTTTGAAATTTATTTAAAGTAGTTGTTATATTGTAGGATAAGCGCAGATCACCAAGGAAGTACAAGTACCGCAGCACGCCGTGCCCGAGCGTGAAGCACGCGGAGGAGTGGGGCGAGCCCAGCAACTGTGAGGTGGGCGATGCGTGCGGCTACTGTCATACCCGCACAGAGCAGCAGTTCCATCCCGAGATATACAAGTCCACTAAGTGCAACGACGTGCAGCAGGCCGGCTACTGCCCTCGGGGACTCTTCTGTGCATTCGCACACGTCGAACGTGAGTGACTCTTTGTTTGTTTAAGTTTATTTGGAAAAATCCAACTCGAGGTACAGAAAAAACTTAGCTATGAATGTTTTAAGAGAATTGAAATTATCTTTATTGTTTAGCGGAAGATCTGACAGCCGGGCGCGATCTGACAGCGCCCCTGGAGTGCGGCACCAACCTTGCGGACCTTCTGTCCTCCGCGCTGCCCGAGAAACGCGCGCCCTCGCCCGCGCCGCCCCACACCAACGGCGATGAGTGCGCATCCACGTCCAGCGGCGGCTCTGCCCCCCAGCGCAACTACGACGACAAGTTCACCTGGCACCCGCGCAGTACCTTCGACCCCACAGTGCTGCAGGAGGTCGTGGGCAACGCACTCGACGACCTTCATCTCGACGAGCCTGTCAACCTGGTCGCCTCGCTCGACCGCGACCTCTCCGACAGCGAGGGCCTGCTCGGCGGCTCTGCGCCCGTCAACATCCCGCGCCCGCCCATGCGAGGCTTCAGTCCGCCCACCGGCGGGTCCCCGCTGCCGCCCTTCCTGCGCTACGCCTCCACCGACGACCGCCTCTTCAATTCCCACATCAAGGCGGGCAGCTTCGGAGCGGCGGGAGCGGGCCCATTCGAGTTCGCGTCGGCGTCGCCCTCCGCGCCCACAGAGCTGTCGCGGCTGCGCGAGGAGGTGCACGCGTCGCGTGCCGTCGCCGCGCGATGTGATGAGCGCGTGGCGCAGGCGCGCTCCGCTTGCGAGGCCTGGCAGCGCGAATCGGACGAGGCGCTGCGTAAAACTGCATTGGCGGAGCGGCAGCGCGACGAGGCGCTCGCGCACGCCATGTCCCTGCGGCGCGAGCTGGAGGCGGCTCGCGCGGGCGCAGGCGCAGGCAGGCGCGAGCTGCGCGGCCTGCCGCTCTCCGCACTGAAGGCGATGCAGGCGCAGGCGCGCGCCGAACTCGAGGAGATCGAGAAGGTGCTGTACCTGGAGACGGCCACCAAGTGCATGGTGTGCGAGGAGCAGCCGCGCAGCGTCACGCTGGCGCCCTGCAACCACTACGTGCTGTGCGACGGCTGCGCGCTCACCGCCAAGGAGTGCCCCTACTGCCAGACGCCCGTGCAGCAGCTGCCCTAAACCTGATCCTGCCGCACACACACAGCGCCGCTTGTACGTCTTTACAATTGGAATTTGCGTAATACTTTATTTTCGTACTAAAACTAAAAGGAGATGCGAGCGACCGCCGCCAGCCGCAACCGCAGCGTGACCTGCCGCGGGGCTCCGGCGTCACTCGCATCTCCCGCTACATACATATTACAATGTCATTAATATTTTTATATGCGCGTCAACTAATGACAGATATCTACATCTACATGATAAAATAATAATAATTAAGGATATATAATTTAAGCGTAAAGAGCAAGACTTATTCTGATAAAATGTATTGAATGAAATAGGAGCGATTGTGTTATGTGTAGATGAGCTGGGGCAGTCGTCTCCGCCCTCACCGAAAGCAATAATAACAAACGAAGAAGTTTGTGCTTTTATAAATTGTCTACCTGATTACATGATAGAGATGGAATATAGATTTGTATAGTGTTGTTGATTGCAGGTCACTTTTGATACCAACTTAAATTATATTAGTACTTGCAAATGCTAGTATTGTTATCAAATATATTCTCTATGGTCTACGGGGCTTTGTTCAGCTGATGAATAGAAGTTTATTGTGTCGTGAAGATTTATAGAAGATGCATTTTTATATTTGTCTATTTCTAATATCTACTAAATATTTTTCATAAATCAAGTATTTCAATATATTTAGTGCATGGTTACATTGTAGTTGTTACGATGCTTTCGATGTTATTGGAAAATATTTTATTTACTAGACTCCTGTAGTTGACATTGTTGCTTTGATATACAAATGAAGACTTGTAGCTTTTAATCAATTCTTAACATTTAACCCTTATTAGCCTACAGTTTCAATTTTGATACCAATCTTTTAAACCGAATGTTCACATTACTGTTAGTTTTTTTTTATAGGTTGGCTGTACTTATTTTACTGTATAATATTCTTTCCAACGAAATTTAAAAAGAAACAAATTTCATTATTGTTTTATTTTATCAAGCAAACACAGTAATTTTAGAAATAAATCACTTTCGTATGTAAATCAGGCTACTAAGGGTTAACTTTTGTGGTTTATGCTTGTACTGTTATAAATAGAGTCTTCGAGATATGTTAACATAAATCAATAGTTTTTTCAACATAGTGTTGCCACAAATCTATAAATGTTTTTTTTTTTAAATTAAGCTTTTAGTTTTTATAACATTTCGGCGTATTATATTTACGCGATAGGATTTTATATTTTTTATGAATATGTCAAGACTTGTGGGTTTTTTTGAACACGACAATTTTAATATATCGAATACGATTTTTTATCTTAGATTTTTGCAGTCTTTTAATGTGGTTTTATAAGGGAAATGTTGTTACTTGTTATTTTTTTTACAATTTCTAATCAACAAAAGTTGTTTGTGTGATTGTATGGATGGTTTATATTTTTCCATTGTTTAATTTCCTGAGCACAATTGTATGCATACAGTTAGCTACTAAGGACCAATGAGAGAACGAATTTTACAAAAAACTCTAATTCTTGTAGGATTTGTCATTATTTTTTTTTAATGTTGGCGCACATGAGTGTGTTTTAGTTTAGTGCATTTGTGTGTACATTCCCAATGTTTTTTTAATATTTTTTTTTATAATCTGTATTCGGTGTTTGTATGCATTTTGTTCGGAAATCATTGATTTATGCTGTCCGTAGGTAGGTATGTTTTCTTTTAAATCCTAGATTCAGTAGTTTTAGCATTTACTATTTCTAAATAATATTCAGTTAATTTTTATAACTAACTATATGAGAGATTTTTAAGCTATTCATTTTACTATTTATATATATTTTTCAAATCTACATGTATGTTTTTGTATCCGCATATATTAGGGATAACAAATTTAAATTAGATTTATTAATTAGATATAAGTAGAGTTTTCAAATTGTAATGGACGTATGTTTTAAGTATGTAGTCGCTGCGACGCGTAATTTGTACTCGGAGTTATGTGAGCACAGTCGCCTTACACTTATAATTAAAATTGTTAACCTGCGTTCTGACGAGACATGTTTCTATGTTACAATGTTATGCCTAGTTTACATTGTGATGTTTTGATGAAGAATTTTACATGAAATCATTTAAACTTTGTTAGTACAGTCAGAGCCCTTCGCGGTGTTCCACTTACGAAAAATTGCAATGTTCCTTGCAATGAGAAAACAAGGTCCTATTATACAAAATAATAAAATAGTAAAGTAAAAAGTAACAGTAAATCGTGACTGACCTTTTGTCGTATAGACACATTCAAAAGTTGTATCCTATCCGTTGTTGTTTCTGCGTTGTCTTGCTTTAAGGTGGAATACCGCGAGATACCCCGATAGTACATCTTTTGAAAGATATATTCTGTAATAGGTCGCATATAGAGGACAATAAAATAGTCAAAGATGTCTCGTCCAACGCACTGTTCAATTTTACAATGTCGACACGGCACATTTTGTGTTATAACATGAATGCAGAATGTTCGTCTAACCGATAGCACAATAATCCTTCTATAATTTTTACATCAGCAATCATAAAGTTAACGTGTGTTTTGACGATTTTATTTATAATAATGAATTTATTTTGCTATTTAATTATAGTTGAAACTCATCTGTGTCTGAGTCTGTGAATCTTTGATTATAAATTCAACATAACGCATTTCGGAGGGAACATAAATTCCCTGTATAAAAAGCCACTTTTTAACACAGACGACGTAAAATTAAAGAAGGATCATTGTACTAGAATTTAAAAGTAAGTGTGTTTTGTATCGTGTTTGGAGTTTTTTATATTAAAGTGTTTGTATGGGTCGCCGGCTTCCATAATACTCGCTTCCCTGGCGGCCGGCGATGGATAGGTTGGCCTAAAGTAACCTTTGTCGTGTGCAGCCTCTCGATGTTAGTTAGGGCTGCCAATTTATAATAATTTATAGCGGGAATAAAACTATCAGTTTTGACAACCCTAAATTTCTTAGTGAACAACGACATAAAGTCGGTTAGTTATTTATCATACAATCCTTTGTGACCCAAATACATCGATGTTAAATCGGTAGCCTGAATTGGCATTATGAAAAGTGGCAGCCCTATGTTAGGCATAAAGCGTGTCGAGAAATATGTCCCGTGTGGTCATCGCCTATAGTAGCTTGCTAGTGTTTGGTATTTTATAATTATTTTATATTAGATGTGTATTAGAATCAACATTATTTTTATATAGAATCTTTAATACATATAAAGAATTTCATTGACAAATTTATTGAGAAAGAAATCATTATTTATTCGTAATAAATTGGATTTAGAGTTGCGTAGGTATATAGGTGTGATGTGCGTTTTCATTCGAAAAGTAAATCGAAAATTTCTTTTTAAATGACGTCTATATTATTTTTAATGTTTTTTTATTTCTATTTTAGAATCTATTTTTTCATTATCTGTGCTGCGTTCAGCATTCTATTTGTCACTATGTTTCTTTATAATGAACGCACTTTTCGAATGACAGCGCCTCGGAAACTGGATTTGAAGAATATGAAAGTCCTGGTTTGTTCGCATTCAATAGAAAGTTAACAGGTTTGTTTGTTGTTTAATTAATTATTACAATTATTTTATGTACACATTGTAACGAACTTTTACTGTTTACTGCATTTCTGTTTAGTTTATTTTTTTTTGTTTAGGACCAATTATGTTCAAATTTTTTTTTGCTAACGCATAATAACTACGATTTTTTTTATATTTTCTAATATTATTTATCTTTAATTATTATTTAATATTAGATAGGTAGGTCCAACAAATTTTTTCAAATTATAATTGTTAAATTAGAAATAGACGATGTTATGTAGACAACCAATTTGAAATCACTCTCTCGTAAGATCAAATGAATTTTGTATTTAATTTTTATATTTATTCTTTGGCATTTAAGCTTTTTTAATACTTTGATTAGTAGATGTTTTTATAATGCAAAAAAAAAACAACATAATTTTCAAATCCACGTGATACAAATGTATAACAGAGATGTGAAGATTATAATTATACTTAGGTAGGTAGGTTTAATAAATTTTTAATTCCATTCAATAAAATAAGTGTTTTATTTATTCTCCTTTTTATATTAATTTCCAGGTAATCTATTTTTGGCTTTATAACTAAAAGCATTTGAAGTTTCGTAATAGGATAAGAATTTTTGAGGGAATATTGATTCAAATAAAACAATTTATTGTGTTTTAAATTCTTTAATAAATGTGTATTATTGCATTTGTAAATTGATAAAATATACATTTAGATGTAAAACAAAAAAAAACTTCAAATGAAAATACACAAACGTTAGATCGAAGCGGGGACAGAATTCGTTACAGAACATATTTAATTCAATAAAAAAATTACAATACGAATTCTGCATACGTTATAAGGGACGGACGTTAAAATGGATCGGTCCAACTAAATAACAGATATTAATTATAGGGCAAATTACATTTTACTTTGGTAGTTTTAAATATAAATATTATGCAATAATCAATGGAGATTCGACTAGAAATATGAACAGAAAGTTATAATTAACGGCTCATGAACGGCTGGCAAAAAAATCTCAAATTAAATATAATATTATTTAATAAATTTTTTAATTAACTTATGTTTAATTTCTATATACATAAAGCGCATTACATAATGAATAACACTAAATTTAATGATTTCATAATATATTGTAAACAATTTAGCTCATTATCTCTTCAAGTCTATGTGACTTCGGCACAAATTTGAGTTTGATTTTTATTCCTGTTATTTTCTACGCAATTCATTCATCTCTTAGGCCTAACACCAGTAGCCGCGGACGAGAGCGAAAGCGTGCCCGTGGTCCCGTCCCGATGCGTTGTAGGAACAGAGAGGTTTAGTGGGTATGCCTCCGCTATGGAGGAGAATCCCACATAACTAGCGCGTACCCCCCGGGGCGCAGAGTATGCATAAAGCATTCCTCTCTGAAAAAAAAGGCCTAACACCGGTGTTCCCCATCAAAATTCATCTTTAAAGTTTTCTTTGTCACATACGACACTTCTTAATAATAACAGGTCCATAACCTTCTGATGATTTCATTTCATTGGTGTTACTTTCAGACTTCCCCTAATATGATTTCAAATCTTATCTATGTTTTTAAATCTATTGTGTTTTCCTGTTTTATGTTTTTTTTTTGTTCTAGTCTTTAAGAAATACTTGTCTCCCTTTTGACCTTAATAATGAAAAGAAGAAAAAATATAGACAAACATTCTTTTTGAACTCTGCTAAAAATCGAATATCCCATTCATTGTGATCGTCCATAAATAGCACATAATTTGTGACTAAAAATAACACACGAAATGAAACTTAATTTTTAACTAACAAAATATATATAAATGCCTTATTTATTGTGATCGTTACCCAATTTGCTGTATTAATATTTATTATTATATACATAGCAAAGTATATAAGCATAGATATATGTTTAACAACTATGACATATATTAGTGATAAATTGATTCGGTAAATTCTCTAGCGTCAAGTAAAATAACAAAAATTGCCACTAATAAAAAATGTTTTATAAATTAACTTAAATACTAAAACTAATATTCAATTATTTTTATAAATATATATTTGGCTTTATACAGTTTTTTTAACATGCCGCGTTTAAATTAAAATAAATGCACAAAATACTTATGTTTTTGATGTAAAAATAATTTCGTTCGTCAAATAATCTCATTTTAGTTACGTTTTAACTAAATTAATTGTAAATAAAAATATATATTACATGTTCCGTGTGCAATTTAATATAAAAATAATGTCAAAATTAAAGAGATTCATTTGACTAGTTATATTGTTTTTAAGATTTTTTTAAAATAATTAAATCTCAAAAAGCATCTGTGAATAATGAATTAATAAAAAAAATAATGGATTTTCCAATTTGGAATCTCTTTATCAAACATATCGTCATCCCTGTCATTATCTTTGACAAAACAGAGATAATATGTTTTAAATGGAGATTCCGGTCTCGGAAACCCACGGGTAATCCATTGAAGCGAAACAACTAAAAGAGCCTAAATATTTTTTTTTGTAAAAAATTAGGCCAATGTATCAACTAAGTTATTTTCTCAAAGACAAAAATATAAAAAGTAATAGTCCGATTTTTTATTAAACGAATTTTTTTTTGCTAAATTTAATCTTACATAGGCTGATTTATTTTCCGACTATTTTATATCTATGCTTAATATAATCAAATATTGGATCCTTACAGCATATAGTCATGTCGTTGTTCAGCTGAAGTGCACTTGATACAAGCTATACTAAACGTTGAACTGCGAAACATATCGCCATCTCTTTCTTTCTCTTTCATAAAACAGAGACAACTATATTTATTGGTACAATGAGGAGAAAAATTCACTAAAACGGTGGCGCTAGCGTCGAGTTAGCGTTGACATCTGTCAAATTTTTCATACGTCATTATAGCATTTTAAAAAATATGTTTCCTTTTTTCATTTTCTGCTATAAATAAATTAAAAAAAAACTCATTTTTAAATTTTTTGAGTGAACTTTTATGGAAGTGACTACTTTGATGGAACTATAACTACCACAGAGTATTTTATACTTTGTTTTTTGTATATCTGTGGTATCATCATCAGCTCATTATACATCCCCACCGAGGGGCTCGGAGACTACCCTAAGTTAAGGGTGATTAGGCCATAGTCAACCACGCTGACCAAGTGCGGGTTGGTTGACTTCACACATATCTTTGAATTACTTCTCAGATATGTGCAGCATCACGATGTTTTCCTTTACCGTAAGAACGTCGGATATATATGTAAATCGGAAATGTAAAAACACATTGGTACATAGCGGGATTCGAACCCAGGACCTGCAGATTGCAAGTAAAGTGCTTGACCCCTGAGGTGACATCTAGTGAGCAAGTCAGTTTTTCTCCCCATTGTGACGGCAGTGAAATTTTAAATTAACAATTCCGTACATTCTCAATATAAATAAATATTAGTCCTTGAGAGATCCATTTCGACAAATTAGACAACGTAAAATTATTCAAACTTAACTTCATTCTTTTATCATGTTAATATTTATTAATAATTTCAAACAGTTTACATATAGCAAAAAATATAATCATTTTTAAATTTATTTTGAACATGAAAAATGTCAAATTTATGACAAAATAAAAAAAAAAAATTGACTGTTGTGTAAATGTCAAAATGGATTTACCTTTAATATCTCCATACATTCCGTATTACAAATGAGCAAACATACATACATCTAGTCTCAAAAGCCATACATTTAATATAACTTTTCTTACTTAATAACTATTATAATTATATTAAAGCGATGTCAAAAATGTGGTGTTTGTTTACATTTGTGCTCTTAATGATAATTGCTGATAAAAATTCATGTTTCACAGAAATTATTAATTTAAAACTTATATAATAGTAGGCTTTCACTGCAGAAACAAAGATATTAATATTTCATCACAGCAAATAAGAGAGAAAATATTTCTTTTAAATGTATCAACAGTGGAAACTTACTAGAATATTTTATAATACATCTGACAATATATTATATGCAATTATAATAAAAAAAAAATCTAATACAGATTAAAAAAACTTAATAAATAAAAATTTAAACAAAAACTGTTTAAATTAGTACATTTTTAAACGCCAATATGTTAAGGCATTTCAAAAAATTTTCATCAATTTCCAAACTATAGTAAAGAGAGCTTATTACTCTATGGTTTGATTTCATATTGTTACTTACAATAAACTAGATAAGCGTCATATTAGCTGCGATCAAATATCGACTTTATTTGTATAGTCTTAGAACTCACACTGCACTGACACTTGTAATACATCCATCTCTTTTCATTTTCTTTGAAGAAACAGAGACGACTGTCAAATACTTCTGTTAGCTGCGATGTAACTTCGACCTTATATGTATATAGTTAAGGTTTCATACAGAAGTGCCGACGTGTCTGTCAGTATCCAGTGTGACGTCTTCAGGGCTGGCGAGGTCTGCACGCAGTCTCACACCGCGTCCCGTCAGCGTCCAACGACACGCAGCACGCTCTCTGCTGCCTGATATTCTGAAAATTTATTATATACATGAATGATTTATTTATTTTTATTATTATGTTGACGAAATGTTGATTACAGTTCGTTTAGCCACACCATATAGTCCATGGTCGCTGTCTACCCATCTGGGTTACAAGCGTGAGTTGTGTATAGACCAAACGCCCTTAGTCAATCTTACTAATATTATAAATGCGAAAGTTCAGATGGATGGATGTTTGTTTAAAGGTATCTCCAGAACGGCTGAACGGATCTCGATGAAATTTGTCATACATATAGAACATAGTCTGGAAGAACACATAGGCTACTAATTATGTTTTTTTATGCTCCGGGGACGGAGTCGAGAAGAACAACTTGTACCCTAATAAATATTAATAAACTAAATAAAATAGTTTGGAGGCGTTTCACTCGTTTTTTTTAGACTGCAACACTCTAAAAGTGATATTTTTTTATTTATATAAACAGGTGTTGCCATTACAAAGTATTAGTTGTATAAATATTTTGCAATGTGGCTAGGTGATGCACCTGCAGAGGGCGGTGTCGTGCGCACAGTCCGCGCGATCTTCGTCAGGAGAGCCGGCGCTGCTCGGCGCACTGCTCGCCGAGCCGCTCGCCGAACTGCTCGCGGAACTGCCGCCGCCGCGATACCGCTCCACTTCCGAGCCGCATTTCTCCAAATCTATACATAAACATTATTACCTTTTTGTAGTGTGTACTGTACACATCGTAGTGTGTACTGTACACATCGTAGTGTGTACTGTACACATCGTAGTGTGTACTGTACACATCGTAGTGTGTAATATACACATTGGAGTATGTAATAATTAAATGTAATGAGTTTAGTGTATATATGTTACCTCGTCTGTCGTCTATGTCGGGTGCATCTTCAAGCGTGCGTAAGATGTCGGCGCATAACTCCGAGTCGAGTGGCACCGTGTTGTCCGACTCCCTGCGAAACACATAACCTCAATAAATGCCACACTAAGTAACTAATTAGTCTCCCTTAGTCACCAATGAAGAGAAAAATATTTGCTGACTTTAGATGTCAGTATGAACAAGAGTGACAGTAATGTTATATATCACAGATATACAAAATATTCTTTAGACTGTAGTGATAGCAACGATTTTTGTAAAATTTTATTCAAAAATAAACAATTTATAACAACACAATTTATATGTAGTATGAAGTGTGTACCTGTTGTGCAGCACGAGGGCGACTGCAGCGGGGTGCGGCACGGGGGGCTGCAGGGGGGCGCGCGGGCTGAACGCGCTCACCTCCAGCGAGGGCGGAGGCACGCGTGGAGCAGGCGTGCCGCTCCATTCACCCCACACACCTACATACATACAACCCTCATCACCTTCATACTTTCATCACTTTACGTCAGCAGAACTGATTCTCATGATTGATGGAATATGTATATTTATAAAATCAAAATCATTTTACATAATCTTGAAAAAAAAAATTACATCCTACACATAATGTATTTTTTTGTCCGTCTATATGCAACGATTTTCAAAAACGCCTCGAGCTATATTAGTGAACATTTTACCGAAAACAGTAATTTATACTAAAAATTACAGATTAATTTAAAAAACAAATATTTTCCGAGCTGCTGAAATTCCACGGCCGCATTTGTACACATTATGGTGATATTGTGTTGTCAAGAATGTTTTAACAATGGAAACTCCCAGGAGGAATGTATAATGACCATGTGGGTGAGGTTCGTGAGGGTCACGACGCCAGTGGTCGCGCTCTGCCAGCACGTCGGGCGGGGCGAGGCCGCGGCCGCAGCGCGCCGCCCACGCACGCGCCGCCTCCCCGCCCTCCAGCGACAGACGCGCCTCCCCCTCCTCCAGCGCCACCAGGATCTCCGCATCGAACACCTACCACAAAAACATTATTAACATACTAAGATGCTATTTTACTTCTTACCAATATTATAAATGAGAATGTTTAGATGGATGGATGGATGTTTGAAGGTATTTCTAGAACGGCTGAACAGATCTTGTCGAAATTTGGCATACATATAGAACTAATATTTTTTATTCTTATAGTTAAAAAGCAATATTTAGTGATTCGTATCACCTCTACTAGCGTGTTGGCAGCGAGGGCGTGCCAGTCTGCGGGCTCGAGGCCGCGCGCGCTCCACCACTCCTCGCCGCGCCCCGCCCACGCACGCGACAACTCGTGCGCAGACGCCTGCACCGCTTTCTGTTATACACAAATACACATATATACATTTATTAACTTTAAGTAATAACGTATAGAATAAAATCAAAACACTATTATTTTAAACAAATTTAAATTGAATACAGCAGAAGTACATAAATGCATCAATACATGTAGTATGTAGTAGGAACATAGTCTGGAAGAACACATAGGCTACTATTTTTTTTAATTCCACACGGTCGTAGTCGCGGGCGTACGCTAGTTAAGAAATACAGAATGAATATCAGAATAATAAATGCGAGTATTGCAGAGTGCAGACTCACGCGCAGGTCTGGTGCGGTCATGCGCACGCGCGCGCGCGCCGCCTCCGTCAGTCCGAGCGCGAGGTCCCGCCGGCGCGCCGCCAGCTTCTCCCGCACAGACATCACCAGCTCGTTGCACTCCTTCTCCAGCTCCTTGTATGCACCGGTCTGCACATACATATATACCCGTGCACTCAGTTTCATTATCATTAAAGCTAACGTTAACGGTTTTTAAGGAAAAACTAAGAGATTTTCTTATACTGTCTAAATAAGTATGAATTTTTTAATAATCTAAATCATTTTTTATGCAATTTTACCTTAGCGATCTGCACGGAGAATGGACCGAAGCATGCGTCGACGAAGTGCGCGTAGTCCCGCAGGGGGCGCTCGATGACGCTCTCGATCTCCGCCGCCCACTCCGCCAGCGCCTCCAGCTCTGCGCGTGCACACACCGCCGCAAGCGCCTGCGCCGCACTGCACGCAATACATAATAAAATTAGTAAATTAATAGCTTCTATACAGAATATACATATGTGACTTGTATTTTTTGTGTGTGTGTGTGTGAGAGAGAGAGAGAGACTGACGTGATCTGATAGCAGGCGCGCGTGTGTACTCCGGGGCCAGCAACACGTTTGCAGAAGGCGGAGTCGTGTGCGGGCACGCGAGCCGCACGCACGATTACCGCGCGCCACGCCGCCGCCTCCCACACACCGCGCCCCGCCCACCAGCTCACTCCACCTGACACACCGCACAATTAAACTAACTTACGACTAAAACATTTTATTAAAAGTTGTGGCTGCATCCCCTCCCCTGGCGATGCCCAAGTTTGGACTGCAATAGACATATACGTACCGACTAATAAAAGCAGCGCGCCGAGTGGACAGAGCACCACGGCCACTAGCAAAGCTGCCAGCGGCTGCAGCACGCCCAGCAGCCCTATGTGCCACACCACTATCTCTAGTAGCACAAAATACCTGCAAGTACACAAGTTTCAAAAGTTAAAGACAGTCGAGGTGGTAGGTGTTACCTATTAAGGTAGGGGCATGTCTAGTGAGGTAGTAGGCGTTACCTGTTGAGTTTGGGGGCGGGGCAGTCGAGGTCATACACGAGGGCATTGGAGGCGTGCACGGCGAGCGTAAGTGCGGGCATCCAAAGCGGCACTGTGAGCGCGGCGCAGAGTGAGAGCAGGCAGCACAGCACCGCGCATATCGGGAACGCCAGCAGCAGCGCCAAAGACCCCAGGCCCCCCACCACGCCGTAGTTCCACAGCCGATTCGCTTGCCGACTCATACCCTTGCCCAAGAGACCTGTTTACATTACTCATTTTATAAATACCAAAGTTTGAATGTTTGTCATCGAGTAATCAAATATTTTTTTTATATCCAGGCAGACGTAGTTTTCAGTAACAGATATTTTTTTAATTACCTGTGTCAGGTTCAGTCTCGAATCGTGTTCTCTCCTTGGACACGTGTCGCCAGAGCCGCAGTAGTCGAGACCACATCGTCTGCGTCTCGCTGCTGCGTTTCGGAAACAGCGTACCATTTACCTGCCCACCAATAATAATATACTCTCATTGTCTTTAAAAATGGTACGGGCAGAGAGACTAAAGAGTCAAAGGTGTTAAATACCTGAGAAAGCTCGTAGTCGGTTACAAAAGGCTTGACTTGCAATAGCGCGCGCAGCGACACCGGCGAGTACCAGGGCACCAGCACGCCCAGGAGGAACATCATGTTCCAGCCCCAGCACCACGTCCTGCAAATTTGTAAGTACAGATAACAATACAATATGTTTTTAACTGGGATTTTATTCTCAGAAACCAGGGGTAAGTGGCAGCGTGTCACCTGTGGGCGTGGTCAGTATGTGTAAGAAGTGTGGGGGCGTGGCTAATTTGTCCAGTTTAACGTGATACCTGTGTGCGAGGTTGAGCAGACGCCAGGCGGGCCAGCGCGTGGCGGTGCGGCGCAGACGTTCGCGGTGTACCAGGAACACAGGCTGGCTGGGGTCGGAGCGCGGCGTCACTATGGAGGTGGCGCGCGTGCTCAGCACTGTCGGGATGCGCTCGCTGCGACCTCGGAAGTGACGCACCACAGACCTTCAAGTTTTTAAAATGTTTATTATTATTTTATATTGCATTATATTGCCATAAAAGTGTTACGTGTGATAAGTAAAGTTTTCTTAATTTTTTAATTTTACTGGGGCACGAATTGAGATATAAAGAGCTTAAGTATATTGTGAATGTACCAGTTTCGTGGTAGCCAGATGCGAGTGGCCCATGTGAACTCGCGAGTTGGCGTCTTAGCGGCGCGCAGCTCCTGTAAAAGTAGGAATAATGTAGTCTTGTTCATGTGACGTCATCACTGCATCAGGTAAATGGTGTATGCTTTAAACCTTGAGAAGAAGGGGCTCGCGGTCCCTCAGGAAGGCGAGGTCTCTGAGCAGGAAGTATCTGTGCTGGTGCAGCTGCTGGGCCTGCATGGCGGCGGCGGCGTCCTCGAGGGGCGCCCAGCTGAGGTCTGCACGCAGCCTGCGCGAGGCCGCCGCCAGCCGCTCTGCGCGCCACGCACCAGCACGCGACAGCACCGGGTGTGTCGCCAGAATGCGCGCCTCCGCACGCGCCAGCCCCGCCTCCAGTTTGCGTTGCACGCCCTCTTTCGCTCTGAATATACAACATATTTTATATTTACATGCAATAGATCAAATATTCGCCGTTTTCCAACATATATTTCTAAGCACCAGTTACCTGTCCATGATCACAGCAGCGCGGAGCTGCGCGGCGAGGAGGTCGGGCACACCGTCGCCGAGCGCGCGCAGTGGCTCGCTGGCCAGCACGGCGCTGCACACGCGCGTCACGTACTCCCGCAGCGCAGCCACGCGCACCTCCTGCATTGCGATACCATTTAAAACTATTTTATGAAGAATACTTCATTATCACAACTAACTCACAGTAAATAGTGAGATGTACCGTACCTCCTCGATGTCCTTGATGGGCACCTTCTGGCTGGCGAGGTGCGCGGCGCGGCGCTCGCGGAAGTGCAGGAACCAGCCGCGTGACTCGCGCTCCAGCAGCGCCTGCAGCGGACCAGCCGCGCGCCGCGCCACCTCGCGCCGGTACAGCCGCAGGTCGACCTGACGAACCCCCATATAAATACGTACAATAGCCTACACTTACATACACTTGGAGACATGCTTTTGCAACTAACACCACGCCGTTATGTTTGTATACCTGTGTCTTCTGAGGCGTGGTGTATACACAGGGCACGCGGGGCGCCAGGCGCAATGCGTCGCGCGCGTCCGTCTTCTCACTGGCGGCGCGGCGCATGGCGCGCGACACCCACGCCGCCAGCGCCGTTATGTCCTCCTGGTCCTCCGGCTGCAAGTACATACAAACTTACTTTTTAAAAAACAAAAAAAACAAAGATTTCCATACTTCGATAGCATGAAGATATTGCTTAATTTAATAACAATAATTTTTACCTTACAAATGAGTTCCGCCACCAAGTACCTCGACCTTTCTTCTCGAATTTTTTTATCAAGATCCCTAGCTTCTAGCGACGGCATTCCAATTAGGACATCTAATAATCTGAAATTTATAAAACCTACAATAGAATCTCAAAAATCTCTCAATTCTCCAGTAGACTTGGCACTTTGTACTAACCGATGTAGTCCTTGTAGCAATGCTTTTCCTCCTCCTATTACCGATAATGGTTCGTCTCTAAGCAGGCGGTCTCTGGCCACAACCACCAGGAGTGCCACGGCCCTCGCTACGTGACAGTACAACTCCTCGCGAGCCCGCGCTCTGCCACGTTGCAGCCATCCTGCCACGCGCCACACGTGACTCTGACCAGGAAAGTGACGGGATGGCACTTCGAATTCCCTAACATATATAAAATACATGAAATATGATTTTATATACTTAAATAAGCGCTCCACACGAGTAGGAATCAAAAGCAAACATCAGTATACTACAGGGATTCAACAACAAATAATGTAAATACCAAATTTTACGAATATTACGCAGGAAAAGAGTATATTTCAAGTATTAGTAATAGATTTTTCTACTAGTGTATTAATACATAATTTAAACGTGTAAAGGTATTCACAAATATTAAAAGTTAGAAGAAATTTCGAACAATTTATAGACATAAGACTAAAACAAGGATATTCATGCCTCTGGAAAGGGTCTGTATGGTAATCTGAATAGTACACGGACGAAATGAAACTACGGAGCGATGCGGGAGACTAGAAACAAATATAATACACAAGGACATAGAAAGAAGAAGCAACTAGTGTCCACATACATGCTACGTATCGGAAGGGACATTGGCGCCAAAAAACGACAATAGACGCGACCTGTACATAACATATGTCATCCTTCTCACTCTCTTTCGAAAAAACAAAGATAACACTATGATTTTGTAAAGAGGTTTTAACGGTTATGCAAAATATACATCACAGATAACAAAACATTCGAATTGAGGTTTTTAAATAATCAGTGCCGGTAACATGACAAATCGAATTGGCGCCAATGTCGTGTATTGCACATATACCATAGATAGTTGCCCTGACAACATACCCCCATTCGTGTATCGATTCCAATTGTTTAGTACTTAGCTTCTTCGGGTTAAATACTTTGTCCTTGTGCAAGCTTTATAGAACAAAAAATGTCTTATATTTACGATATTAAAACCTATGGCATCACAAGCTCCAAGCTATCGTCTAATGATATGAATATTATAAGGCGTCGTCGACAAATTATTCATGAACAGAAATGAATACAGCACTATAATAAAAATAATAAACGGCTTTTGCATGAGAGAATAGAAATTTCTTGCGATATTAATAGTTTTCCTAAATTATTTACGAACGAATATAAAAAACTGTTTATTTCATTACGTAATTAATCCTAGTTTTTTTTTTGGAAGTTATAGCTACCAAGGTATTTTATTTTTAAGACGAAACAAACCTTTATCCAATTTCAAAAGTTCGTTTATAATTATAAGCCTGTTTTTCAAATTTGGTTTACCCTCTTAAAACCAATTTAACAATTAACAGAGCCCTATTACTGTTTGTTCCAGCCTTTTTATGGCTAATTAAGCCACACCATAGTAGTGAGAATGTTAACTAAAATTAATACAAAGAGTTTGTGGGCAATGTAATGAGTGCTTTGTTCCAAACATTTACTGTAAAGGAATACTTGTAAGTGCGTGGAGTATTAACGTAGTCGCAGATTAAGGAAATATGGATATTCTAAAGATGCCTTAGAAATTTTAACGACTGTACTTAGCATTTATATTGGTTTTGTAGATTTATATCCATTATAAGTCAATTCATTTAAACCAAAAACGATCGTGTTCTGTATTTTATTTAACTCGATCTTTACAAGCAACGTTTATTTGTCCTGCACTCATTCCCTGCGTTCAATGAGACTTTTATGTAATGTATAAATATAGTAACCATTTTACAACAGCATTACGGACAGTCTCTAAAATTGAACTTAATTTAACTAAATTACATAAAGACTGTCACATAACTATTCGATCGAATTAAAAAAATACAATTATTTTATTTAAAAATATTAGCGAAGTATTTGAAATTTATTAATATTTCGTGTAGCCATATCAACTAAGCTCTATGTTTAAACCAGAGTATGGTTCAGGATTCGAAGCTAGGACCACGTATAGGGATGTCTGTACGCATAAACATAACGACATTAGCTTTAAACGTTAAACTTGGAATAAATCATGAATTCCGGTGGCTTTCAATCTAAATTTGGTGATAATGATTTTATGTCCTGGAATTTAATGTCTACAATATGGTTAACGTATAAAAAAGCGCAACAGAATACAGTCAATGGTATTAATAGCTTCATACTGTCCCAGATTAATTCTACTATTTCCTTCTTATAACAAAGCCGCGCTGAATGAAAGGGGAGCGACGTAATTGATATTCTGACCCACACATATGTAAAACTAGCTGTCGCCCGTAATCCCGTCCGCGCGAAATAAAAAAAACTTATTCAGTCGCGCTCAAATGAAAAACGTAGTCTGGAAGAACACACTTCCAGACTACGTTTTTCATTTGTTTCAAATTTCATCGAGATTCTTGCAGTCGTTACGGATATACGTTCTAACAAATATCCTAAAATTCGCATTTATGTTAGTAAGTTGGACATTCAAAAACTAAGATTAAAAATATTTTTTGTTCATAAAAAACCCGATTGACTGCAACCCTATTACTCTAATAGAAAAATACGAATCGAATGAAACCTGAGTAGTCAAAATCAGTTCCGTTGTTTAGGTTCATAATGGCATTCAAGAGAAACCCTTTTGACTCAGTTAGGTCATTGGACGAATCGTAGTTCTGCGTGAGTCATCAAAATTATTTCGATCATGGATATATCCAAAGAATGGTTCTCCTATCGTCCAATGGATTCAGAAAACCTTGACCAGATCATCAGTCCCTTGTAGGAGGCCTGCCTACGCTCACCGTCCTGTACTTGACGTAATACGAGAATCTTGTGATTCCATTCATAATTTTTTCTAACAATGTTGCCTCGTAAGTTTAATTCTACGAAATTTTCGGCAAAATGCAATAAAACCTGATTGCTATAAGTATGTAAAAAACAAAACAAAATCACTTTAAAAGTCTGTAACTTTTTACAACTGAATATTTTTGGTATTTTCAATGTCTTTATCTATTTTGAGATATATTTGCATACTAATTATCGCTGGCGACTCCGTCCGCGCGGATTAAAAAGAAAACTAAATACGTAGCCTATATGTTCTTCCAGATTATGCTCTACATCTATACAAAGTTTTAATGACATCCATGCAGCCATTCTGAAGATACCTTCAAACAAACATCCATACATCCATCCAAACATTTATAATATTAGTAATAAGTAAGAAGATATGCAAGATTAAGACATATGTAAGGCCTCATAATGATGAAGTCATAGCGTAATAGGTAAATGTATTGTTTGGAACATCCAAATTCAATTGCATTTGTTTTTCATATAATGCATAATAGTACAAATTTTTTAACAACTAAATCTCCAGAACATTCTAAATTATGACCAAATGTATTGATAATATTACTTGGATTGTTTTAGCTTAAATCAATCATTATAAAACATGTTACAACCTGTTACACATGTATGTACGTAATTTCATCCTATTGTTTAACCAGTTTACAGCTATTGTAAAGTCTACCAAAGCACATATTTATTTTAAGAGTATTTCGAAAAAATTACCTAAACACATTAAATTACAGTTAATTTTTAATTTATGCCTTTGCCTTCACATCAAATAATTTTATGTATGTTTATTGCCTAAAGTAAATATAAATTACAGATAACAAATATGTTTGACTATCATTTTCATATTCAATTCCCTAAGTGGCGTTCCCTATTACAAAATGAGTTAATGACATGCTTTTACGTTAATTAGTCAACACTAATTAAGCTTTTAAAGGTACAACATAATGTCATTTCCACTTACCCTTTCTCTCGTATAGCATGCAGTTGCTTTGGGGATAAGGGCTGGGGTTCCACTCCTGCATCCAACGCTGCTGCATCCAACTCATCGCATGGTGGTGCGATTATAATATCCGAAGGTTTGTTACCGGGACCCGTGAATTGTGATGGTGGGAGCACTGTAAAAAGATTTTCTTGATTAGAAATCAATTATTTCAAGTTAATTTTGACATATTATACGATGATATCTGTGTTTACTTGCAGTTTATTGAAATTGGAATTTGTTAAGATATAGATGAACTAAGGAACATCAATTTGTGCTTGTTTATATCATTTTTTGTTACTTTATATTCTTAATTTTGTATGTAGGCTTTGTTATATAATATTCAAGTTGGGTGTCTATAAATATTTAGAAGATTTTTATATGAGGACTTTATTCTGACTAAACAAAAGATGATCTCACCAATAGGAAATGTCTTCCAATGATAGAGGAAGTCTTCAGCAACTTGTTTGATATTATTGACCAGTTGTTCTACTTCCGGTGGTGCTCCGACAAGCTGCACATCAAAATGTAGCGGCTCACGCTCCGGGGGAGGCGGCTCCAGCAGGAGGGAGTTAGGCCGGGACGCTCGCTCGCCTTCACCCGACATAATGTCTCAAGTACTCCGTAGTCTAGAGTACTCAAGTCGCATGTCGCGCTAACCGCATAATGATCTCCGGTGCTGCAGTAGGCGGAGAAATCACTTGACACCGACCACTTATTGTTTTATTATTTACATTCATTTGATCAATTTAGCCCGACTGTGTCGGAAGACTTAGCAATTTACTATTAAGAAATTTCACTTTATATGGGAACACTGATTGATTCATTTAATCACAATGAAGTGATAGTTGATCTATTTGTCATGAAAAACCATGACCTACGGCGAATATTAATACATATATTGGACAGTCTACTTCACTTGACTTTTCCTAAATTCTAGTTTTATTCCGATTCAGAGGTAGGGTTGACAGCTAAATGAGGATTGACAAAAGCGCCATCTATTTATTGCCAAAAAACTTCTTGCAGAATAAAGTAAAAAAAAGAAGAAGTCATTTATAGTTATCTTTGATTACTTAAATAAAAAGTTATAATTCCGCGGTACAATGTAAATTATATTTTATAATTTGTTGCAATTTTGAAACAAAATTCGATTTTATTTGTATGTCTGGCAACAGATATGTCTGATGTTATCTGTGAAAAGTGCTCTTGTCAATGTGGTAATTTCGATCTTGTTTAGAAAATATTGGCTTTATTTACGACTTTTATTTACTTTTAATATAATAAATTGAACACATTCCAACAATTTTATGTGAACAAATTTTAATACCTCATTGGACATTAAAATATTAGCGCGCGGGACCTTCAATTGGCTGCACGGCGATCGTTTCGGGTATGTCCTACATTGCACATAAATTTTGATGATTATTGGTAATTTCCGCTATAAACCGTGATTGAAACCAGTAGAATTTCTGCTTCTTGGTATCATCTTAGTTGGTTTAAGTTTAGGTAAGTTGTAAGTTTGTTGGCGCGATTCGTTGAACTTCTTTTATAATACTGATTATCAATCGTGTTTTAGGCTTCTAGGCAATGGAGGCGATGGATATACAGGCAGTGGAGTCGAAATTGAGTGATGTTACGGTGACCGCGATACCCATGACTACTAAGAACGTGCACAAGGATGTTTCACATAGTGGGAACAGCCACGCAACAATATCTACGGTACCTGCCGCTTCACCTTCGTCGATCGGTAAAGATAAGGATAACGGTATGTCAAAATACGCTCAGTTGTTAGCTGTCATTGAAGAGATGGGAAAGGAAGTGAGACCAAGTTATTCAGGCAGTCGTAGTTCAGCGGAGCGTCTAAAACGAGGTATTGTTCATGCTCGCATTCTTGTCCGAGAGTGCCTCATTGAGACTGAGAGGTCAGCCAGACAATAGTTACATACTGATCTCAAAAACAGTCAATTTTATGCATTCAATTTATTATTATAGTTATTACTGCCAACAGATCCTTTTGGAGATTATACAGATTTCTCAATGCAAGAGTTGGTCCAATGCTATTTTGACAAGATTATTATAAGTTTTATATAACTCTAATTCTTTTTATTTTATAAATAATTGCTTCACTTGCTCAAAAATATTAGAATAGGTAATTATAACAGGACTGACTCTGAATTAATGAATCTGTATATTCTTGCAATATTTTCTCACAAGTAAATTTTTACACACAAACCATTAATAATTCTTTTGTTATGAAAATTTTATTTTTAAAAGGCAAAGGTGAAAAGATTTTTGATTTATAAATATTGACATAATTTTAGAATTAAATATAAATGTATAACATACATATTTCACAGTTAAAAACATATATACAATCTGGAATTATATTTTAACATGTTTTTTGTAATGTTAAACAAAAATCTTTAACAATTTTTTTAATTGAAAATGGAAATATTTTAACATACAAATTTTAGATTAAATTATTAATCTATAATAGATATAATTCAGGGTATTTAGACATAAAGTTATGACCTTTTTGAGTTTCTCCATGTGACAAAAAATATATATTTTTTTTTAATTTAAATATCTTAAAGTCATAAATTATTATTGTATTAAGCATCCACAGTATATGGTCTCTGATGGTTGACGAGTTATTCAAATTGTGGTCTGTAGGATAATGTTAGGAAAGTAACCTTCAAGGCACATCATAGAGACCTCTGTTGGCTCAATAACTAAATATTTCCGTGATTTAGTTTACCATAATAATTTTGTCTTGATAATTTCATATGTTATATTAAATGAACAAGTTCCATTTTATTATTACTATTAATATAATATTTATTATATTATATATTACATACAATAAACCATAGCAATAGATATGAAATGATAAATAAATATAGCAGTTAATATCGGGTAAAAAATAACGATGCCATTTTTTTAATCTTTTTAATTTAATAAAAGTTCAAAGAAACTTAGAACATTAAATGATTAATATAAGAAGTGTCATAACTTTGGCAATAATATTGTTGGCAGTGTCATGATATCAAATATCGTAAAATATAAAGATATATACAAATTGATAAGCCCCAGGTTACGTATAAATTTTCATAAGAATACACTTTAAGTATTTACAGTAGGGTTAATATAATATAGTAGAAACAAATATATCTTGCCGATAAATGGGCATTTTATTAGTATTCAAATTTAATATTTATGTATTCCGGCTCGAAGGACCGAAACTTCACTTCTTTTTTTAAAATAGAATAGATAAAACAAATAAAAATTGGATATATTTAAAAAGTATAAATTCTTTCTTTTTTATGTGACATAACTAAAAGGTATTGAAACTTTTTAGATATGGCTAATTAGTAGGAGCTTTGATTCCTGCTTTCATGATGTGTATTTTGCGTGTGAACAAGACAACATATGTTAGGGCCAATATGTATATATCTTTATGTATAAAAGTGTATGTTCTGATATGTCCTGAATATGAACAGGCTGTGATTGCAACATTTTTTGTGAACATCTACCTCAGACGAAAAAAACAAAAGATTATTATTAATGTTTATAATAGTTGTTGTAAGATTAAGTACTGGCAACACTGATTGGTATTTAAAAAAAGTTTCTTGTGTTATAGACTCGGAGGTGGATTAACTATCACACTAAACATTGGTTACTGAGACTGAAATCTGTTTATAAAACATGTCCTCATTCCGTGTCAGTATCTTTGACAGATTAGAGATAAGAATATGTTTGAAATGTGGATTTTGGTCTCGGAAACAATGTTTAAGAAATTATTTGGCTTGATAATAAATGCCGTATTAAAAATTATATGGTCATGTGATTTTTGTTATCTCTTTTTACTACTTTGCCATAGATAATCCGCCTCTAGACTCTATGGTTATAGAGAAGAAACTAGGCAGAGACGTGTGCTGTATTTACATGATATAATAACATATTTACCAGTTGTTTTGATCAATTCTCTATTTGCACTATACTCTGGGCCTAGTCTTATTTTCATGCAGATATATAGATATCAATGAGTGGAACAAGCTATCTAGAACAATTTGCAGTTTGTTAGACAAATTTGTCATTCCCACTTACTATAATAATAAGCAATATTTTTTTTTATTACGAATTAGGATTTTGAAATTTAATTTCAACATCAAGGAACTTAAGTTAGCATTTTTCACACCTAATTCGATTTGTAAAAATTTGACTACATCAATTTTTATAATGTGACTCAAAAGACAATGTATCATTTATATAATGCAATTGAAAATACAATCTTTTGTCTATGGCGTTCTTTTTTTAAAATTTTATAAAGCCAGTACTGTCTCGTGATATCTTGTTCCATGTAGTTAGTGATTTTTTTTTATCTGTATATCTGTAACCGTGCACAATATACTCAATGCTGAATAAATAATTGTGATGTCAGTGATATTATTGTGTGGCTGTTGGAAATATATTTACTATGGGTTTCTGACACCAAAATCTGTATAAATCATAGCGTCATCTCTGTCTTTCATCTTTGACAAAACAGAGACAACAATGTATTTTAAACGAGGATTTTGCTCTCAGAAACCCAGGGTTAGTCAGTGTCTGATATGTTTTTAGTCTAGAAAATAGCCAATCTTGTGTGTGACCTCAAATTAGCATACATTTTAGATTTTAAGATAATGTGCTCATTTTGTTTGGTAATTTTTTTTTCAATTAGTCCTAAGTTGTATATAATTTAGCTTTTAATATAACCAATCATGAACCACCTCAGCACAGACAGATATAAATCAGATGGGCGTTAATTTTTGCAGTTTTAGTACATGTTGGCATTTTATTAGATTTAATGTAATGAGCGAAAAGCCGAGATGTATACGATAAAACTACGAATACGCTAGAAAAAAAATGTTGTCTATGGTAGATAAGTATCAGTGTAATATCGCCAATTTAGCGCGATTTTTACTATAATATAAATAAAAATAATAATTCGGTCCAACTGCCGCGTATACTAAACTCGATTAAATTAATTATAAGACAAAATAATGGTATATAGATTAAAAATAAGTTACCATTAATAACTAGAGTACTTACATAAATGTTATTGTGAAGTCCATTTCAATGAATATTTTTTATTCGTATACACCTACATTATTTACACACTGATAAATAGAAAATAGAATTTTCAAATTATAGCCCCTTTACTAAATTTTAATTTACTTTCAAAATATGTAATGCGTTTTAAATCATGTGCAGGAAACGACGCCATATTGGAACGTCATCAGATATCTAATCGAAAAAATAGGCGGGGTCAATAACATAGAAATGTCAAAAATATTTATTTCAATTAGACCTGTGTTCAAGCCTACAGTTTTTCGTATTAAAGCACACTTTGTTTTTAAACGTGTTACTTTATTGTATTTTCCAGAATTAAATTATGTTTTTTTTAGGTTAAAACTGTTACCATTTTATGTATTTTGATAGATTTATTATGCAATTTGGATCTTAATGTTACCACAAGGGGCGTTTAATTTCTAACAAACTCTTTAGAAAATGTAATTTGTAAGTGATGAACCATAAAACAGTACAAATATTAGAAAATTAGTAAAAGATACGTGTTATAGATGCAGAATATAAATGTTGAATTTTTAACTTTGGATAGTGTTAGTATACCGTATTTATTATTGTACGGACTTATTTTTATTATGAATATCATTAATAAATGGGTTTAAAATTAATGTGTTTTTCTTAACCACTCATCTTTGTTAAAGCACACGATTTTCGCGTTTAATCTACTACACCAAACTAGCTTTTAATTTAAAATATTTTACTTCTTTCTTTGCGAGTCTAATAATGTTCAAAACAAATAAAATATTTAACTTTTGTAACACAATTTCCTTCATTTTATAAAGTTTCAAACTTAAGCTTGGAAGGTATTAAAGGCGTAATCCTCAGTGAACTTGAAAACTTTAAGTGTTATTGATATTACAAAGGCAAAGTTAAGGACTTTTCGGCTTTAAAGTTCAATGAAATCACCACAACAGTCGAACTAAGAGAAAGGGCTTATGTTTAAATCCTTTAAGTATCGGAAAACTTATAAACTTAAATAACAACCTTTTAAATTACCTCCATTTTGATCATAAAGAAAAAGAGTTGATATGAATCGTGTTTTTTTCATTCTATTTTTTCTTCAGTTCACAGTATAGGACATTTTAAGGATATGTTAGGAAAGACGAGAACGATATCAACAATTTTAAGGAAGAAAACTTTTTCTGTCATTGTTACAAAAGTAAGAAATTTTAAAGTGATCAGTGAACGATATTTTCCAGTTAATAATGTCTGTGTGGAGGACTCTGTTGCGATGGGAGACTGGATACAGCGCGGACTCTGTGGAGTGGTGTCCGGTGCTACCGTACAACAACGTACTCGTCTGCGGCACATATCAATTGGATAAAATGGATGAAGGTAACGATTTTAAAATACGATAGCTTTTAGGGAGACATTAAAACGGTACATACAATATATGATCAACCTATCAGAACATATTTTTTTTTTATTGACGGATAATTGCTATCCGTCTTCTATTCTACTTCTGACGCTCGGTCAGAATCCTTTTTTGCTTTTATTTCTTTATTTACATACATTTGCTGCTTACAATATTAATGTCTTATATCTAAATACAGGTTTATTTATAGTTACTGGAATCTTTGCTGTTTAATTATTTTTTTTTTGTGTTTACAAATTCCTATTTCTAATTATTTATTAGTAACATTTATAAAATTGGTTTCTTTCTTACTTCTAGTTATAATATCTAAAATTTGTTAGCTTAAAGTTTTAAAATTTACTGAAATGCTAAATCTATGTTATGCCTATATCTATTTCTAAAACTTAAAGTATCCATTGGTTTTTGTTCTTTTTAATAATAATATTTTTTTTTATCAGAACATATTGATATATGTCATAAATGCTTCAACTATACCTAAGCTTAGCTAAGGAATAAGCTTTTTGGCCTTGACACAATTATTTTGTTAATTTATTTTTAAAAACGTTCGGATTGTACAATAGACGTTGTAGCGCTTTATAATAGTTCTTAAATTACATATAATTATTTCAGGTCAGCAAAATAAAAAGCAAACACGTCTCGGTAGGATATATTTATTTATCATCAATGATGACACGAAAGAGCTAATTCCCGCGCAATCGATTGACACGGCGGGAATATTGGATCAGAAATGGTGTCACCACACTATTGGAGGTTACCCTGTTTTGGGCGTTGTTACATCTGAAGGCAAAATACAATTATACAAACTACATGATTCTGATGGTTTACAATTAAAGTTATGGATAGAAATATCCATAGGCCAAGATGTCTTAGCTCTATCATTGGATTGGTCAAATAATAAGACTAGCGTAGAAGCGCCGTTAATTGTCGTCAGTGACTCTGCGGGTCATGTTAAAGTATTTAAACTGGAAGGAGATAGTTTGAACGAATTGTGTGATCAAAAATCTCACGGATTTGAAGCCTGGGTGGCCGCTTTCGATTATTGGGACACAAACGTCTTTTATAGTGGTGAGTTGTATAAATTACTTTGTGTACTTTATTATTCGTATATCTTAAAATATGCCTTATTTTATGGTGTTTTATTAGTCCGTTTATTTTCCTCGTTTTATTATTTATATTTACATGTTGTAGGAGGCGATGATTGTATATTCAAAGCTTACGATTTGCGCGTGCCGGACGCCATCGTTAGCAATCGTCGACACGATGCAGGAGTGACTGCCGTCAGGAGCGACACGGAAACTGAACATAGATTGCTGACTGGAAGGTTCGTTGATTACTTTGTTAATTTTTTAAGTGCAAGTTTTTTAATTATTTAGACGTGTTAGAGATAATACATCCAATTGTGTGAAAATGACAGAGTATTAAAAATGCGAATATGTAATAATTCCATTCACGAATATGATACTGATCAATAAATCGAAATTGTCGATAATTGACTTTTTTTGGTTTTTTTAGCCATGCCAAATGTAGTTCCATGTTCTCTGCTTACCCCTCTGGGTTACAGGCGTGAGTTGTGTTTGTGTGAACAATTTTTAAATATTACAGTTACGACGAAAAGGTGCGTTTATGGGACGCGAGGAATTTAAAATGTTGCATTACTGATGAGAATGTCAACGGCGGAGTTTGGCGATTGAAATGGCATCCATACAACAGCGTAGTGTTAGCTGCCTGTATGTATGGAGGTTTCCGTTTGTTACGTGTTGATGAAGAAATATCATTAATTGGTGAATATTTGGAACACGAAAGCATAGCTTATGGCGCGGATTGGAAGTTCGAGAGGGAATCTTCGATTGTTGCAACTTGTTCGTTTTACGATTGTAAATTACATGTCAGTGAAATTGTTTTGCAATAAAATAATGCTTGTAATTTGTTTTTTATTGTATACCTGATATGTGGAATAAATATCATTTACTTGTGGATGATCTTTCTTGTCAAAAAGCACGGTTAAATAACTAATGTTATAAATGCGAATGTTTAGATGGATGTTTGTTAGAACGTATATCCAGAAAGGCTACTTCGATCTCGCTGAAATTGCGCGGACCGAATCGCGGGCGACAACTAGTAAAAGAAGAAGAGGTCAATCCTGTTTTAAATTTGTTATGAAATTTTCAGTAGATATGAGAATCGACTAATATCTATTTTTTAATATCGCGCCGACGGTGTCAAGCGCGATAGGTAGTCTTACGAATATTATAAATGCGAATGTTTAGACGGATGGATGTTTGTTTGTTTGAAGGTATCTCCGGAACGGCTGTACGGATCTCGCTGAATTTTGGTACAGTTGTAAAACATAGTGTGGAAGAACACATAGGCTACTAATTAACTTTTTTCTAATTCCGCGCGGACGGAGTCGCGGGCTCGAGCTAGTAAAGGAATAAATAAAAAGCAAAGCAACCTCATTTTAAACATGTTGTATTTCAATTTGCTTATAATGTCATGATAAATATAATTTATAACAATTACATACTTAATAAAGTAATCATTTGCCGTAAGTGATAAAAAAAATTCCTTAAACAATTTACATTAAGAAAGGCTTTGGGCTGATCCATACTAAGTCCAACCTTCTAATAAAGTTATTTAAAAACACTAAACTGGCCTGATTCTAATATAAATTTGTACCTTAACATTTTTTCTACAGTCCTTGTAACTATTCACTTTTTTAAACGTAGACAAAAACCATCGGCCACCGCCCTTCATAAGCACACCACTTTACCCAACTACCCACATCAAAATTGAACACAGTTAAATAAGACTTTATATTTTTTTTAATTTATTACTTAAAACAATACTTTAATAGTGACCTTCGAATATTTCATGCGTTTAAAAAAAATTGTGAATGAGAATGCTATTTATAAAGATAAATAATGTTGTCATCAAGAAAAAAACAAAACGCGAAAAAAAAAGTTAATGCAATCATGCAAAATTTTGTATTTCCATAAACTGTTATGTAGACTAAAAAAATATGCACTGTGTTTACTTGATTTGAAAAATATATACACTTTGATTTGAAGAACTGTGAAAAAATCAAAATTATAGGGTAAATATTGATACTAGTGGCTGTAAATTGATCGAAATTCGAGCATAATTTATAATTAAAGATTTTTTAATTATTTTTTTATTTAAAAATAGCTTTGTGCACATTTTGTCCATATTAATTTTAAAAAGTGGTATAAAGATTTCGCTTCTGTATTTTGATTACAGCCATGTTTTTTTAAATTGACGCATGAAAAATTCGAAGCGTTCTGAGTTACGGAATAAGCGTAAATTTCTCGATACCATTTCGCAACCTCGGCGCAGTCGTCGTCGTTTGGATCTCTGCTGTAATTCGCCATACAAATGTTGCTACAATTATAATTTTATCATAGACCCGAAACAATTATTCATACGAAACACTATTTTTATTTAGACTAGTCCACATTCTAAAATGGCAACTAAACCGTATGATTTACATAAAAATATTTTTTTTAATTACTTTTTTTTACAATTGCATAACCTTCTAATTTAATATCACTGCATTGTTAAATAAAATTGTAAACAACACGGTTAAGAGTTTGACGAGAAAGTTTACAATAAATCAAGACGAAACAACCATCTTTCATTCTCAAAAGTTGGCAACACTTATTAGTTGTCATTTCTTTATTTCATCATTAAAAATATCTACATTTAAAACAATCTACTTGTTCCGCGTTACACTAAAATTACATTTACATATGAACTTATATATTAAATGGAACTCATTGACCGTACACGGAACTCGAGCAAATCTTTGCGGAGTCGTGAGTTCCGTAATTGTTAGGGGATAAAAAATTCAATAGTTTCGCAGCGATTTGATAGCGAACTTCAAAAATCTATGAAACTGACAGTAACTTTCGATAAGTCACGTGATTGTCGCGCATCAGCTGTTTTGAAGTTCGCTATAGAATCTCTTCGAAGCGATAGCAAATTGTCTGACCACCCTAGTCAGTAAGTTCCATTCAATCTATGGCAACACTAGGCTGCCATTTTACACATTTATTGTAAACTTTCAAACATATTTTAAACATTTACAAATATACTATGGAATACTGCATGTAGTACCTTGATTACAATTATTCCGACAAAGGAGTTCCTTTGCGCTAAAATTATTTACAATACATATGTATATATTTACAATGTACACACATTGTATACATTTACATAACGTAATATAAAATATTCTGTACATGTGTTATCGGCAGCTGAATAAATTAGATTCAAAATGTTAACAATTAATTTATAACTCAACCGGGAATATAGAAATCTTCGACATATAGCGGAAAAAACATGGAACTACAATTATTTTTCTTCTAGAACGAGATGTAATAAAACGATTGAAACGCCGTCATGTCAGGATTTTTATATTCTTGGTTAAACTATACTCATTTTATATGTTATATTTAATACTTAATTTTCTAAGATATATCCGAATGTATTCGGATTTCACAACACAAATAATTGCCAAAGAATTTATAATAGTTTGTTGAAAAAATGATTTTTTAACTAAAATGATGAATAATGAAATGTGGGTGCTTCTGGGTTTAAAATATTTAATTTTTATTAAATTAAATGATGAATAACTTTCACGAAGTTTTTTAATATGTTTAAAAATAAGAATATATTATTTTCATCATTTTAAAGCTATATGTTTATATTAGTTAAATTTTTTAGATCGGCGTGAAATTTGTTGTTTAGAAATGCTGTACGCCATGTAATACTGAAAAAAAAAGAAAAATTTAAAAACGCTAAATTGTACTTTTTTAAATTATATTTTAGAGGAAGAAGATAATTTATTATATTTATTCTGAGTTATTTATCATTTTCGGCTTTAAGATCAAATTGAGTTTTTATTTCCAAGTTTTTTGTTGTGTCAGGCATATCAAATAATTTTAATATCTTTTTTTTTCATGAATGAATATTCATAAAAATGTAGATTGTTATATTCTTACATGCCAATTACATTTGTTTGGTGATTAAAAAAAAAAACAAAAAATTAAATTTCCAATAGTTTTCTTGTTTTTAATACATACATCTGTTACATCTGCTTCGTATATAGTTTACAATGCGAGAATGTACTTAAAAAAAACAGTCCTTAATATAAAGAACTGGAAAATAAAATAAATATATTCACCATATTTTAGGAAAGTTGGTTTTTACTGGCAACATTTTTATTGTACAGGTCGAGATTTCTATCAAAGCTAATTCAAGAAATATGTACTTTATTTCTCAAAATTTAAACAAAATTACGTTTTCTTGGTTACAAATTAAAACAAATCCTCAACATGACCGTGTCCTTTTTTTTCAGAAGTGAAAATTTTATGGCTGCAATCCAACAATTTATCAAAATAAAATTTGATTATAACAAATATATTGGACAGACAGAGATAGCAATGTTTTTCTCATTGTTACTTATAAAAATGGTATATTTGAATATAACATTCCAGTGTCAAAAGTAAAGTTATATCAGTTTGAGAATATTTTAAAAAGAGAATCTTTCAATAGAGTATCTTTTGTTACATGTGACGACACAGAAACAGTTCACAGCGATAAAACCTATCGTTTATACAAAAATGTACACGTACATCTGATTCTATGTTAATATCACGACAAAATAAATATTCCATGATAAACATATCACCTCTTTGTGATTTAAAAGCAAAGAAATAGAACGTACATATGCAGTAGCACTACATACGATTTAAGTAAAAAAAAGTTGATGACAAATGTATAAAATAAAAGTATGTAAAAACAAGACAGTCCAGTCCATAAATGGCATTCTCCTGCACAATCTGACGCGTCTATTCATTTATCTATGCGTTTGACACAACTTTATACATGACATATAAAATATACATGCATACACGGGAAGCATGTTACAGCCATCGTCTATATATTACGAGTAAGCGTATTCAACGAGCGGCGGCATCGTCCTTCAGTCCTGTCTCTCGCCTGCTGCACTTCCTGCACTGAACCACCACTGACTCACTACACGTGTGACGTCACCGGCCACTGTCCGTCTGTGCGTCGCTGCTCACTCACACCGCTGCCGGGGCGCGTGTGTGCGTCTGCTGAGATTACCGGTTGGGCGCGGGCGCGGGTGCGGGCACAGGCGCTGGGGGCGGCGTGGGCGCGGAGGCGACGGGTGCGTGCCGCGGGCATAGCGCGCGGAAGTCGTCGTCGAGCAGGTGCCAGCCGGCGGCGGGTGCGCAGGGCACGTGCACGCGCGCCCGGCACGCCCGCGTCGCGCACACTACGGCGGCACCTGCACGCGAGCACGCGCCGCACCGCGCCACCCGCGCGCCCCACACCGCCGGCGCCAGACCCCACACGCGCGAGCCCGCCGCTATCACACCGTTCGCCCAGATGCCGCACGCCTCGTGCAGCCACACCTCCACACCGCCAGATACGGTGGGGAAATGTCGGCGTGACGCCTCGTCTAATGCTCTGTGATCCAAAATGTTACTAATACACATCTTTTCAAATTATCACACACAAACACAAGTTTTTTAACTAGCACAAACTGTTTGTATTGTTGGAACATCTACATTATAGCAATGGCAGTATACCTGTACTCGTCGCAGTCGGTGGTGACGGTGTAGGGGCCGAAGAGATCGCCGAGGGCGCGCGCGTGGGGTCCGCGCTCGCAGAAGGCGCACAGCCAGCTAGCGTCGGGCGTGGTGGCGTCGTAGCGCAGGCCGAGCGTGCTGGCGTGCAGGCCGCGCGCGCGCAACCCGTTGCGCCATTCGCCTGCCTCCTCCGACGACGACGCGTTCACCACCGCCACCGACACCGGCGACGCACATGGACCCACGATCTGGAAAACAATCATAATACACATTTACTTTGTAAAAAAAAGTCTAATACGGAATGAAGGAATTAATTGATCATTTCTTAAGTGTGTACTCACTTGTATGTAGGGACCTCGCGAGCGACTCGAGCTAGCGTTGCTGCAGGAGTCGTACGCATCCTTGACGGCCACTTCCTTGGACTTCTTGGCGTCTGCCTTCCTCCGGGGCACCTTCCTCCTGTCATCTACGGAAGCCCGGTTGACTCGTTTCGCGACCTTCATGCCTTTGGTGGGTGCGGATTTTCGCCGCTTTTTCGCTTTAGCAGTCTGAGGTTTATTATTGGCCTGCGGCGTGGCGGCGTGCGGCTCCTCCTCGAGGCCGGCGAACATCTTCTCCAACTGGTTCTCCACCTCCACGAAGCTGGCTGCGGTAGGCTCCGCGCTGCCCGCCTCCGCCTCGGGTTCGGCCGGTTTTGCCTGGAACAGTATCATTTCTTTGTCAATAATAAATACGTCATTAAATTAACAATTATCAACTTTTTATTTACTGTTAAATTTCGAAAACTCATTTTTTTAAGTAAGTTTTTTGTTATTATTCAAAATTTTACAACAATAAATACCTCAGATGGTGATTCAACAGGTACATTAGTAGATTCAGAGTTAGACGTGCGTACGCTGCGCCTGCGCGGCGCGGCGGGCGCCTCCACGGGTGGCGTCTCGGGCTCCTTGTCCGGCTCCGACTTGATCTCGGGCTCGGGGCTGGCCAGCACGCTCTTCAGCTTGTCGACGACGCCGGACGAGTCGGGCATGTCCGGGGTCCCGGGCACATCGGGCGCGTCCGGCACGTCCGGAGCGGAGGCGAGCGGTGTTGCGCGGCTCTCGGTGCTCGCTATCATGGCCGCGATGTCGTCTATGGTCTCTGCGGAACCGGACCGCGTTTTTCTCCTGGTGTGCGGCTGGTCCGGCTGCGTCTGTGGGGGCGTCGGGGGTTTCTCTGCCGGGCCGTTCGGTAAGTGGGCGTCGCCGTTCTCGAGCGGAGTTTGCGTTTGTATTTGGGGCGAGACGCGTGCAGTGCGAGGGGAGGCGCGCGGTGCTACCGGGGAATCGTGCGCCTCCTGCGGGGAGACCCGTGCCGCTTGTGGGGAGACTCGGGCAGTTTGCGGTGAGACTTGCGCGGTCTGCGGCGACACTCGCGCAGCCTGTGGGGAGACTCGTGCCATCTGAGGGGAGACCCTCGCAGTCTGCGGGGAGGCTCTCGCCACCGGCACGGGGGTGGCGACGGGCTCGGGCGTAGGCGACGGCGCTCGCTGCGGCTCGACGGGCGGCGGCATCACGGTCGGCACGCGAATGGTGCGCTCCGGTTTTCGTTTTCGCTTCGAGCCGGGCGGTGCGCCGCACGAATCTGCCGAGTCCTGAAACAGTGTGAACTTAACATTGATAACACTGAACTAGTTCGTACCAAAGAGTGACAAAGTAGTATGTCTAATACTTGACCTCATTGGAGGAGGGTGGCGAGGGCGTGTGCGCGGCGCGCGGGTGAACGATGACGGAGTGCGGTGAGGCGGGCGCGGGAGCGAGGGCGGGGGCTGGGGCGAGGCGCTCGAGGAGGGCGTCGACACGCGCCAGGGGGCCGCGGGCGTGCGGCGCGGCGCGGGCGATCAGGCTGTTAATGGTGGGTGCGTCGCGCACGGAGAGCGCGGGTGCGGTGGGTGCGGTGGGCGCGGCGGGGGGCGCGGGCGAGCCGTTAGCGCCGCGCGGCCCGCCCACCGTCAGGTCGACGCCGCCCCGCGCGTACGCCAACAATTCCTCGGCACGCACCATTTTCTCTGGAATCGTCAAACCTACGCAAAGTTATGTTGCAGTTAGCAATTACAATATATAACTTCTTCAGGCGATATGCAAAGTGTCGTTTTGAATGAAAATATCTCACCTCTGCCGGGACCTAAATGTGGGTATAGTTCTGCGGGAGGAATCGTAGCGTTCGCCTTGACATCGCCCGGCGACGGCGTGTGCCTGCTGCAAACGGACACAAACAATTGAGTGTCATTGGTCAATATAAAGAGTCGACCCTTCGCGTGGCCGCATATAGCTGCAGTGTGCAACAAGGTACCTCAACAGGTGTTTGTCCGGCGGTGTGGGCGTGTGTCTGTAGAGTTCAGGCGGCGTCGCCGTGTGCCGGAACACGGAGTTGCCACCCGCGCCCTTCATACCCTGGAAAGTAATAAAAAAACATACATGGAAATAAGGGTTTTAAAGACTTAGCTTATTTCAAAGCAAATTTAAAAAAAAATAGGAAATGGGTTCAATGAAATAAGAACAGCAAAAGGACGTAAAACTCTACATCAAAATTTTAGTAAAACAAAGAGGAAATGAACTATAGGATCTAACAATGTATGACAAAATCAAACGGAAGTCGACCGGCAATTGAAATCCTGTCGCGAATCGAGGAAACGCGTGAAGATAAATAAACAAATTTAGTTAGTATACACGTAAACATTGCGTGATGTTTTCGTTATATGGTAATTCTAAATTGCTTTGCTAGACTGGAAAGGAAGTTACGAAAATAAGGCACGAAACACTAGACGTTATGCAAAAGTATAAAAAAACTCTACGTCATGTTTAAGGCCTTGATAACCAAACAAATTGTGTTAGAAAGATTTGGATGTCGTACTTGTACAGGAGTGTTACCTGTAGGGGGTCGGGGGGCGACGGCGCTGGCACATGGTAGAGATGTGGCGGCGGCGTGGGCGTGTGCCAAGTGACCCCGCGCTCCGATGCCATGTGGGCCTGAGGGGCCCGCGACAGGAAGTTCGCCACCTGTAACTGAAATATCGATTATTGGACCACCATTGGTTCAACGAACAGTAGGCTAGTAAAAGGTTAAGCAATATTAACCTTTTCACAGCTAAAAAGTTCGCAAGTATAATTAGTGAAGTACACGAAACGCTGAATAAATTAAAAAGGCTCAGTTTCCTGGCGAGAACTAAGGCTCTGTAAACTAGACATAAAGAGAAAAAAATATTTAAGCCGTTCTTTACGACGGAAATGATTAGAAATTGTTCTAACTTTCTAACTTCGCAAAGTCAGGTTTCATAGCTACGCGTATTTCATTTGTTTTCGCCGAACTTGGTTTTAAAATTATCCTTTACCTTATTTTAATTTGACAATCATTGTTAAAAATAGTTAAATTAGTAGGGTTATACCAAGTGGCACCACTTGGTATAACCCGACTAATTAATTAATATATGTGGGATAAATTAATTAGCACTATGAAAACTTTTAAGCCATGTAAAAATATTTTATGTGTATTTTACATGAAATAGTTAACATAAAAAAAAATTACGCTTTCACATTTGAAAATATTAAGTGGAAATATAATAAAAAATAATATAATGAATTGTTCACGTCACAAAAACCTATCTACTTGTGCATCAATCGATTTTTAACTTTATTCCAACTTTCGTAAAGTTTCTAATTCTTTGTTCACACCATTATAATATTATGAATGGATACCAAGTTCGTAACCTGTTCAATGGTCGACATTCTTATACGTTAGATTTGCATAATTCGTACATTAATATAGTTGATTAAAAAGCAAAATTCTTTATCGTATTTCTGCTTTGAGTGAAAGTTTGTTGTTGTTTTGATTCCTTGACAACCTTGACTGATCATATAAGGAAACACAAGAAATTATCAATACTGCTAAAAGAATAGACTATAAACTATAAATGATGTTTTTTTTTAATTACTAACATGAACAAGACAAAAACGTAGATGAGACATGTTAGTAAAGAATGTACCATAGACATTGTAGTGTTTTTTACACATATTTTCTGATTTCTCCGTTTCTATTTTCGCTAATTATCGTAAAATATTTTTCTCCTTTATATTGATTACGCTCCTTCCGGTATGCGTACCTCAAAACACGTGTACAAAAATATTGCCCTCTTTGTTTTTACCAAGAAAATGAGAGTGATGGCGAATCAAAACATGATTACGGATACATACGGATACATCGGCAATGGAAATTCAGTTACTCGTATACTCAGACACTGGCTGTCGCTCGCGACTTCGTTCGCGGGAAATTAAAGAAGACTTACTTATTAGCCTTAGTGCTCTTTCATTCTATGCTCTACGTCTAAGACTGTATAAAACATATTGTCATCCCTCTCATTGTTCTCGACAAGAAAGAGATAAAAGTATGTAATATAATATGTAAGTTTTACATTGGGATGTTGGTCTTAGAAACCAACGATTAAAGGTCGATGCCCTTATGTTATCCATGCCAAAAAAAACGTAATTACGACTGAGTATGTCGATGTGCAATCGAATGAGATGAAAACACGAGTCTTTTACGAGTGCTGCAACCGTGTGGTGTCGGGTTGCATAGGGGTCACCAGTTTTAAGGCAAAAGGGCGTAACTTTAAATTTTTTGAACGAGTTCAAAATACGTATGAACAAAAACGACATTTTGTCATACATGTTCATACTCTGATTAGTCCTAAATTGTAAAAATATCTTATTATATAGAAATTTAATATTACAACATCAAAATACTGGTGATTTTTAGAAATAAGTTATTTTTTGTATACAATACAAAAATATACATTTTCACAACATATTTCAGTGCACAAATTCTCCATTAGACGGGACTCGAGAATTTCCATACACAAAGCGATAATTACCGCAAAAGCCTTGTGGTTTTGTGGCTGTACAGCATGCATTTACTGATAACAAAATTATAATATTTCTGTTTGCTAAATTAACCTAGTATATGTCAGTGAAATATAGATTTTTCCCTTAAACTGGTTGGTTTCATTTCGACCGGCCATGACCCGTCGCGTATAGTCGTAAGCGTGCCCAGCCATTCAACCGTTGATTTTAGGTCGAACCATAAACTGTGATAAGTTCTGACGTCTGCTGCGTTCATGGGAAATCTTACCTTAAGTAATTCGTTCTTTGGAAGTCGATCTGATCTCTCAATATATAGTTATAATTGCCAACGATCTAAAATTTATTTCACGTCTATTTTTATCAATAACTAGCTGTCGCCCGCGATTCCGTCCGCGCAGACTGTTCTTCCAGACGATGCCCTACATCTATGCCAATGAGGTGCGACAATGTTCGAGCACCATCTTAATGTTATTTACAGTCATTAGTCAATCCAACAAACCTTCTTCCCAAACGCCCTTCGGAGGGAATCGTACATCCTAAACCAGTCCTGATGAATTCATGTGGCCACTTGATCTTTTGTCACCTTAAATATATAAAAATAAAAAAGTAATTTCAAATAGTTTAGCCTTGCTTGTACATGAGAAACGAAAGGGCATGTAAATTAGCCACTTCTTAATCGAGAAAAAGACTTTGCCTATGTCCATCTTTACTATTCTGAACCATATTTAACCAAGGATATTTAACCAATGTTTGATGCTTATTACCCTACAAATGTCAACGAGGTTCGACCACAACAATCAAGCCGTCCAATGCAACGTATATTTAAAGGTTAATCGTTAAATAAATTATTGGTGAACTTTAAATATTGCGAATCGACGAAATATGCAACGTATTTGATTTTTTTGTAGCACATTTAACATTGTTACAGCTAATATGTTTGCTTTTAGGTTAAATTAATAGTGGAATTCAAACACAAATATGTATTGAAGTAGAAAGTTATCCAGATTGAAGAAATACTCAAGAAGGACGGTCTGAAGGTCACAGGAAACAGTCATGCGTGTTTCCGTGGATGTAAAAAAGTAAGACACGCGTAAGCTATGTCAGTACCGCGCCAAATAGAGGTCCGTAATCTCTGCCTATCCCCTGGGTTACTGGCGTTGTATACGGTATAGGAATGTAATCATCATCCTCATTAGCTCACTATACATCCTCACCAAGGGGCTCGGAGCCTACCCTAAACCAAGGGTGACTAGGCCATAGTCAACCACGCTGGCCAAGTGCGGGTTGGTTGACTTCACAGATATCTTTGAATTTCTTCTCAGATATGTGCAGGTTGCATCACAATGTTTTCCTTCACTGTGATGCAACCTGCAGATTTTAGGAATGTAATAAAGCATAGAAATTAATGACGAGAGTAATGGTGATTTATCAGTCTTTCATTCTATTAGGGCTTAGTACTTCTGAACAAATCACTCATGACAAACCAAGAGACATGTTCGTCGGCATTCTCCAATAAACAAATCTTTACAGTATCAATGAGTTATCTTTGCGTTGTTAAATTTTTCCAAATGGATCCATTACAATACTATATTGAAAAGAATTAATAAATTATTGTCTTTGTAGCATTCATAAACATGACTTTGCCTTGGATATTAATTAGTTTCTTTGCTTATTGTTATTCATTTTTTTTTGTTCATGTTCAACATTGTTATAGCTAATTATATGTAACTATGTACTCAGACGAATAGCAATTAACATTGTCTTTACTAAAATAACTTTAGTATTTTACAAAGTTTTGAATAGTTTCTACATATAAAAACCTTTCAATTAAAAAAATAATCAAAATCCGAGCACCAGGAGTGGAGTTAAACTGTAACACACCTTAAAAATACAGACCAATTGATAACCTCCTTCTTTTTGAAGTTGGCTAAAAATGCAACTGGAGTTATATACTTTTCGATTATATAATAGCTCCATGGCAACATTCATTTACAAATGTGTTCGAAAATGTCTAACTTTTATCAGTACAATAAAAGATTTCACTATCGTCAGTAATCATGTTACATCATTGGAAAAAAAGGTATAGAGGCACTTTTTGTCTGAGCCAGTAATTATTTACAGTGTCAAATACCCTTTCTAAAAAAAGGTGAAATCAATGACCAATGTAATTGAATTTATAGCTAAGTTTTTACTTATAAAGTATTACCAACTTATAGTTTTTAGCAATTATTCAATTTGTACTAGTTTGACTTAGTTGCATACTTAAATTAGTATTTTCTAAGTTAGATAATTGTACATGGTTCATTGATATCTCTGGATTTATTTAATAACCAATTTGTTTTACCCATTTGTACATTTAAATGGGATGTACATTTTTCACACTATACAAAATATTTTCTACAACACTTTATCAACAATTTTGCCCTACAGCCTCTTTTGTTTAATCCTTTTTTTTAATCTCTCAACGTAACTCTATCTGTACTGAAAAGAGTAAACAATTATGTGTACTGATGAAATATAAAAATAGTTCTAAGATTATGCCCTGCAAAACATTATTTTGTAATGAACATAATGGATAATTTCCAACACTTATAAAAATAATGGCTTAACTCACTTGTAGTCCGATGTATCAACCAAGTATTTTCAAACCAGAATATACCTGATTTAAGTCATGTATATCTATTATCAACCTTATAGCCTTTTCATTTTTATATATTTTATTCTATTAAAATAAATCGTAACAAAATTAAGTTGTCTCCATAGACTAATGTCTATGGACACAATTAGTTCTATAAAACTGGTAGGTTGTAAGTGTTTCTCCTGAAATATCTTGTAACCAGGATATGAAAACTTAAAAAAGGAGTCTTTTGTCTACATTTGGTTTTATGATCAAGGATTTACTGATATATTAATAGCAAAGTTAAAGGTTAAAAAGAAAATAAGCAACAAATAGATAAACATGTTCACACTAAAACAAACTTATTTTGAAAGCACAGCTTTGTTTGTAAATAGTAAATAAATATTTGTATAAAAACAAAGAATTCTTGATTGTTTAATTTTTCTTTTCATTCTACACATTTAGTATAGCATTCAGCATAAAAATGAAGTCAGGCAATAGCAAATTAATTAAATAAATTATGGTAACACTTAATTGCAGTATTGAAAGCACAAGCAATGCTTGGTTCAAACAGGTAATACTAAAACAGCTGATCTACTTGAAATATAATCAGCACACATGCCTGTATGTAATATTCTGAATGTAAGATATTTCCAACGGCGAAACATAAGAAGGAAAATCTTTGTTTTCATATTATTATTTTTAGCGAATAATCATGCGCGAAACTAGTGCTATTAAATTAATAAAATAACCTTATATCTTTCCATAAGTAAGTAATAGAGGCTGTTTAAAAAATGAAAACAAAGAGCGCTCGATACTGAAAATCAGAAAAATAAGCACCACCTGTAAAGGGCTCCAAGCGGGGCCCAATTGAGATTGCCGACCATTCGGGTTGTGTTGCGAGCCGCCTGACATTGTGTGCGCTGTCCTCGCGGCACTGTTTACAGCACGTTCAAAGTTCTAATTGTATAACAACCACTGTTTCAGTCCACCATAATGATGCCGGCAAGTTTGAAGCTCTAACACGCGTAACTGCGCTGTCCTACGACGTGTACAGAAACTTATCAAATATTTTCATGAGCTCACGTTATTATTATAACTATCCATCATGTCTATCACATGCCCTCGAAGGGCGCTAACACATTTCAAACGTTCTTGTAGCACTTATTTCAAAGAAAACCACATTTATTTCGTGTATGGTATGGTGTCCACAGTCCTGATGCTCACTTCGCGTGACATTTCAAACGCTTTTATGATTTGAAAATAAGAACTCTACACTTAAATTAAAACTCGACTAACATTCGTAAGATGTTTATCACTATATCTTACCGATAAATATCTAAAATCTTGCTAGAAACTATTGGGAAAAATGCAAATTGAATGAATCTATGCACAAGGATCACTTCCAACAATGGTGGCCGATTTGGATTTTGAAAGCACGTACAACGCCATCTTACGACAACTTTTAGTAAACTTTGGGTAAAGCAGCATAACGGAAAGCTATGCTCTATAGTCTTTGGATTTTGTTTCAACTAATTTAAAATTTTTGTCTTAATTGACAAAATATCATTTCTTAAGTTCGAAAACCGCTATAAATTACTACAAAGTTATTGGAGTAATAAAATAATTTTCTCACATAATCACATGATTTGACTATCCTATAAAAATAATTTTGTATATGACAATCTCGTTGCTATAGCAACGATTGTTTTGATATTTGTTGTTTTACTTTTATATAAAAGTTAAAAGTCAATTTGACGTTAAAATCCGCGAAGTAGTTTTCTCTATATGCCTTTAAGTTTAGTTTTCTAATTTCAATGAAAGATAGTGAAATAACAAAATTCCTAATATCTTTTAATGGTCGAATAGATTTTGTTCTATTTCCGGGTGGCGTTTTCGATGACCAAATTTTTTTACAGTATGATGTTGTTTGGGGTCCGGATTGGGATCCAATTTCCGGACTAAATTCTGGGACAAGCCAAATGGCAATGTCCGGCAGAGATCCAGAGAGAGTGGTTTTCAATTTTCCGATAGAAATGGTATTTAGTAGCACTAATGTATTTGGTTGTGAGTATATTTCGTTGATATGCCTTACACTCAAACTGGTGAAGCGCATACCTTCCCACTGCGCTGCACCCAGTACATAGGAATTCCCTAGGGCCGTGATGGGTGGTCGTGTCTGCCGAGGATAAAGAGTGAATCTAGTCCCTCGAGAACGGCTCATCAATCTAAGCTGGAGCTATCAAAACGAGGGGGAATATTATTTATCATATTTTATAACATAAAATATGTGTCAACCCTTCACTTTCATATTACGTTAATTAAGGCACAATCCTAGTTGCATTTGTCATTCACATTGCAGGGCCGCAATTAATAATAACGGTAAAAGCTCGCAATACATTCGGTGATTCGTTACGGGGCTATTCCGCGGTGCTTCTGCCACCTATGACCGGCGAGCGGGTGATATCAGCACCACTGACGCGACCCCGGCCTGCCACACTGCTGGGGGAGTGGCTGGCCTGGCTGACTGGCAGATATCCTGAACTGGCCGACCCTAAGATGTTGGCGAATGGTAAAGAGAATTATTGTAAGTGATTTAATTCTTTGATATATGGCAAATCGTAAATGGTCACATTGGAAAGGACCTAATATGGTACTTACCTCTTGAGATGGCACGTCGGATAGAAGTGTACTCATATTCACGAAGTGCCATCTATGGATCTCCTAACATCGATTAATTTGTTCCAGTATTAAGAACAGAATCCTATGGAAGTGTCGTTGTAAAAATGTCAATGGTATCGAAGGACCTGCGAAAACTCGGCTACGACAACGAGCCTCCTGCTTGCCGAAATAATTGTAGACAATAAATTGTTTAAGATTATGAAGTAATTTAAATTTGATCCTATATCGTCTTTAAATAAATTAGTCGTCACGTGTAACATACTTAAGTGGCATGGTTATGCATGCACGTGAAGTCTACAGGTCCATGTTCGGTTCTTGCTATTAACCAATATGTTATACGAATTTGTTTTACCCAAAGTTGAAGGAAACAACGTGATGCTACCTCCCGCAGTCAAGCAATCCGCGCTGATCCAGCATAGTCGACTTTGTTAAAATATATATATATATATGAATAAAATATATGAATATTAACCATACCAGCAGATCTACCAGATTTTTTCTACATAATCTATGTAAACCATTAACAAAGGTACAGTCGTGCTCTACTAAGCGGCATGAGGGCATCTTTTCCTTTGTATTGCTAATGGCGCCATGACGTCAGCTGTCATCCGTGTCAATGATTACATTTGAAGGTTATACAAGTAAATAGCTTCTCCTGCATTAATGATTTTGTTTCGAGTTCGTTAAGCAGTTAAATTCTTAGCGTATTAATAGCGTATATACGGTTTTAATAATTACCTTTCTAGTTTACAACAAAGATGTCAGGCCCTCTTTTAGGATAGTTTAATTTTTGGGACAAACGCAAAAGTATTATCCGTGACTTTCTGAGACCGAAATCAATGTTTAAAACATATCATACCTGTCATTTTATCAACACAGAGATAACAATATGTTTTAAACGGTGATTTTGGACTAAGAAACCCACGATAAATAAAACACATGCGTTTTCGCCTTAACTTTTCCTTTGCCTTCAAAGCACATTTCACCGATTAGTTCCACGTGATTTGATACGAAGTGTATGCAAGGCATGTCTTTATATTGCAAATTCACATACCAAACTATTTTAATGCCTTTTTATTTATCAAAAGCATGCAAACGCAAGATATTAATAATAAATAATAAATGTTTACCATTGCTTTATTAATCGTAATTCATATTACAGTGGGGGCTCGTCTGCCGAGCCTTGTATAAGCATTCGGATACAAGGTTGAGAGGCGTTAGTACATTATAACCTCAAAATATGCGGGTAAACACCATGTCTACTCCATTATGTTACTATCGGCACTTGATAACTTGATGCTATGTTATTATTGTTATAAATATACAGCTCGTTATTTAGATGTTGCACATTGAGGTTAATTTTATTGCTTAAAAAATAAAATACAAAAACAAGTTCTGGTTTCTTTTTAATGTATTTAATAAACACAGGTCATTGTCTCTGGTGAATTCTGGCTCTCCAAATGATTACTCTTTGGCAGTGGTTTTGAAACAAATAAAAAATATAAATTGTCTATAACATGAACCTCTAGGAATAACATTACGTTAAACCTGTTTGAATTTAAGAGACTTTTTCAATTGTTCAGGTAAAGGTAAAGAAAGTAGATTTTTTTAGGCCCATTCGTTAATTCATGGACATAATTTTACGTTTACACTAGCTGTCGACCGTAACTCCGTTCGCGATTAGATACCTGGGATCAGTATATGATATTTAATAAAAGATTTTTATTTTTTAATAATAGACAAGACTACTAGTTGTAGCACGTGACTCCGTCCGTGCGGGATTAAAACATTGATAGTAGCCGATACTCAGATGTATTGAATATGCATATAAAATTGCATAAAAATCGGTCAAGCAGTTTACAAGGAGGATGGTCACTGATATTGTGACACGAGAATTTTATATATAAGATTTATACTACATATTAAATTTTTTTTTTTACTATTTGAGATTATATAACTTTATGAAGCTATAACTATTTAGCAATTGAAAAATATAATAACTTAATAATATATACATAAACTTATTATTGAATTACTTAACTCTATATTAATTATTAAGTGACTAATTAAATTAAAATTAATTTACCAAAATAATAAATATATACTAACACTAAACGAAACTAAATAATATAAAAAATCGACCCCAAATCGCTGCGGTCGCACGCTAGGGTTCCCATTATACTACATTGTATAATGTTCAGGAATTTTAAGTTTACACGGGTGTCGCAATTCGTTGTTATTTTCAATATTCTTCACTGTCTGCAATGTAAGTTATTGACCTTTGCAAAAACATTTAAAAATTGCATGTCTTCGTTCTATTTAAATTATATTGTGTAAGATAAGAATACTTAAGTCTTATCAAAGGGAAATTTGTTATTGTATTGTACTTACGTGTATTAATTGTTGTCATTTCAGTAAGGAAGTGTGTCATCAAAATATAAATTCGATTGCAGACAAGTTCGTTGACATTTTTAATTTAAGGCGCTATTTACAGATTATTGGAATTCATCATCAGCTTACTATACGTCCCCACCGAGGGGCTCGTAGCCTAAGTTAAGGGTGATTGGGCCATAGTCAACCACGCTGGCCCAGTGCGGGTTGGTTGACTTCACACATATCTTTGAATTTTTTCTCAGATATGTGCAGGTTGCATCACGATGTTTTCCTTCACCGTAAGAACGTCGGATAAATGTACATATGTAAATCGGAAATGGAAAAACACATTGGTACATGGCGGGATTCGAACCCAGGACCTGCAGCTTGCAAGTCAAGTGCTTGACCCCTGAGTCTGATTATTGGAATACTTTAGTTAAATGTGTGCTTTAGCTTATAATAAAATAAATTTCAAGTCTCAAGATGTTTTGCGGTTGAGGTTTGGGCAGTGTGCTTAAGTAAGGGTCCGTTCACACTAACCGGGTGGAGAGCATAGTCTATTTTTTATCGTAAATGAAATTAAACTTTATGCGATTAAATCAAGTTTTAAATTTATTTTTCCTGTCTTTTTATCCTTCATATTGATAATAAAGACGTGTAAAGTAAAAATTAAATCTTGTTTCATTTTAATGCAGTTCAATTTCATTTGTCAAAAAAAAATTTGCTCTGCTCAACGACTAGGCCTGTCTGAATGGACCCTAACTTAGTTTTTTTCTATAGATAACGATTGTTAAAGGAGGTTACATGTTAACTGACATTAGTGATGAAAAAGGAAAAAATTGTATTTTTTAAATTTAGTGTGTCTGTTAATGTCAATAAGATGTCAATGTAAAATAAATAAATAAATGTAAAACATTTATAAGTCAACAAAAGATTACAATTGAACAACGATAGTATTTATTTATTTTGACAATTGATTTATTAGATTTAAGTTTTGTGAATAAATAACTTTTTTAGTATAAAGCGCAGTAAATTTTATCTCGAATCCTGAACATTCAAACACCAAACTATTTTTTTTGTTGCTGTTTTTAAATTACCTGACTCGTAAAACCAGTTTTCGTGACCGCAAATAAAAATATTAATTAATATTACGACCACTTATAACAACTTTGAAGTCGCAAAAAATAAAGATCCAGCAACAAAAAACTTCTAATTATTTTCAAGTTTCAGATACAGATTCGTATGCAAATTAGATTTGTTTTTTATTACATGGAAGATAATTGTTTATATAATAATCTTACTAATATTATAAATGCGAAAGTAAAAGCACTTGACTTGTATGTATTATTCAATGTATCTGTAGGTCCTGGTTTTGAATCCCGCCATGTACCAATGTGTCTTTCGATTTTCGATTTACATATGTACATTTATCAGACAGATATCTGAGAAGAAATTTAAAGATAAGCGTGAAGTCAACCAAACCCGCAACTTGGCCAGCGCGGTTGACTATGTCCTAATCACCCCTAACTTATGGTAGGCTCCGAGCCCCTCGGTGGAGACGGGGGACGGGATGATGATGAAAGTTTAGATAGATGGATGGATGTTTGTTTGAAGGTATCTCCAGAACGGCTGAACGCATCTTGCTGAAATATGGCACACATATAGGGCTGGTACACATAGTCTGGAAGATCACATAGGCTTCTGATATTATTTTTTAATTCCGCGCGGACGGAGTCGCGGGCGACAGCCAGTAATGTCTAAAATAACTTGCTAGTCGTAAAATAGCTTTTAATATGTTCTATCACTGATAAGATATGGTAAAGGAATGAATTCATCATGCTATTTGACTCACCATTGATTTCTGACGCCACAATCCCTGTATAAAACATATCATCCCTGTCATTATCGTTGACAAAACAGAGTTAGCAATATGTTTTCAACGGGGATTTTGGTATCAGAAACCCACGGTCACTTTGGCCGGCAATTTGTTTTAAATGTTTTATAAACCTTTAGAAACCTCAAATAATTGTAGTTCCTGTGGAATCATAGATCATTGGAAATAAATCTTATATCTTTAAATGAGCAATTCTTGTATATATATGTATATTTGGAATTTCGGAATTGGCTCCAACGATTTTCATAAAATTTAGTACATAGGGTGTTTCGGGGGGCGATAAATTGATCTAGCTAGGAATCATTTTTAGAAAATGTCATTTTATTCGTGTTTTATCGATAATCAACTTAAACATAAACTTAACTTTTTCTATCGGTAAGATCGAAAAATATTATACATATTTCATCATTTTATTAGTAATTCGTACTTAAATATAATTTCCAAAAAATACAATAAAAAAAATACCGGGCAAAGCTCGGTCATCCAGGTACTTATATTAAAACGAATTATAAAACCAAGTTGCATTGATTCTAACATCCGTAAAAAACTCCGCTCCTTTTTCGGTTTACTGTCCTATTTCGGGTTCCTAATAAAAAAAAAAATTGGAAGTGACGTCATCGTTTTCCTCTGACAGCCTTTGCTTATCAACGGACCTAATCACATGCGCGGGCGCAGTTCAAATTGGTTGATAATCTCCGAATCAAATCAGTCGCCGCAAAGCCTTCGTCGGGGACGGACGTTATTGTGGAGCTGCATGGAACGATGTCCGTACGAATCGCGACAGACTAATATCGTCCGCGTCAATAGATAAGTTCCATTCGAATAAATTAGATTAGTTTTGTTGTGTTTAACGCAATCGACTGTGAATATTTAAAAGGTGAGTTTTATACTTGTTTATATAATTATTTTAATTTTAGGATCTAGGTTTGATTTAGTACAGGTGATGCCACTTTTCGCTTACTGGGACAATAAAAACTTTTTTGGTTATTTAAAAATTATAAATATTTTAAAACGCGTAATCTTAACAAATCAAATTTAGTATTTACTAGTTAAAAGAGACTAAATACTGAGATTGGACCTTGAACATGCCCTAAGCAACTCCACCTCTTCCTAGAGACTACTAAAAGACAGTTTGAAGTTACTTATATAATTAGATATAAAAAAGTATTAAGAATTGTTAACAAAATTGTAGAGGGAATTGTTAAGACCTTGCCAAATAATATTAGCCACTTAGGGCAAAAAAGATTCGATAACCAACCAAATGTAAAAAACAAAATAACCGTTAAGAGTTAATACGGGGTGTTTTTATATTTAAAAATTAAGTAGCCTGCTCAATAATTTTGTAAAAAAACATTTGAATATAAACTCTATCGATTAGAAGTCACGAAATAATAATAAAATATTTAAACTCCATTTTATTTAGTTTTATAAGTTCATAACTTGTATCATTTTACACCATGTAAAAGATGTGCAATGTACATTTTTAATTTTTTCAATAGTTAGATGCATTAAATACTTTTTGCATAATTTTTCTCGCGTTTTTTTATAATTAACATTTTAATCATCGTCCGTGAACCGGCGTTGAGAAGATATAAGAAAAAAGGTTATAAGCAACTGAACAAGCAGGATCAGGAAAATAAAATTGTAATAAACGTAATTTTATAATATCATTTTACACGCTTTTTTTAAACTAGTATACAGTATTTATCAATTAATTTTTTTACTAAAAATATTGTTATTTTAAATTAATGTTGGTTTGCAAATGAAAACAAAAGATAAAGTGCCAATAGCATGTTAGCATGCAAGCATGTTCGAATCCCGACATTCGGCTAATATCGCGAACCGTATACTAGTCAAGTACTAAATAAAAAAAATATTTTAGCTGTTTTATTCCGTCAATATTTTAAAATCTATTCACTCAAAATTCAATAGCAAGAGAGTAATTTTGCAATCTAGTGTATGTTGTTGCGAATCTTCGGACACGTTCGCTTTTAGGTGATATTCGCTGTCGATTTGCCAGTTTTCGCAAACTGGTTGCCTAACCGACAAGTTCTGGCTCGAGTTGTTTAGAAAACTAGTTGTATTGATATCATAGATTCTTGTCACATATGAAATGTATGTCAAATATCATAATGTATTATACTAATAGCTATCGCCCGCGACTCCGTCCGCGCGGAAACAAAAAAAACTCAGTACCCTCTGTGTTCTTCTAGACTATGTTCTATAACTTTGCCAAAGTTCATCAAGATCAGTTGTGCTGTTCCGGAGATACTTTCAAACAAACATCCATCCAAACATTTGCATTTATAATATTAGTAATATCTTAACGCGGTGCAGATCCACGTAAAATATTTACAAGAACCTCAAAATAATGTTATAGCAAAGTGTTTTAATTAAAGCAGAAAAAGATTTTTAGGATTGAAAATAAAGTCCACAGAACACCCTACCCACTCCGATTCATAACAGCGAGCGCGAAGAGGAAAAACTCTTACTATGAAGACTGACTTACAAAAAATCCTGTTGAACGTAAAAAAGTGACAACATTCTGTAAGAAATATCTTAAGATCCACAGGATTTTTGCAAAAATGAATTAACCATTGATAATTAAATCGAATGAAGATCAACAAGAACAAAGATTATTATGTTATTACTATGTCGATGTAACCTTTCCCACGTTCGAAGGTTCAGTCTGATACCGGTTCATAATGTTACGATGTGTTGTTTGATCACATAATGTATTAGCGATCTGTTATGTATTCTCCAATACAACATAATAAACCATTCTTATTTATAAGGGTTCCGTACCTCGAAAGGAAAATACGGAACCCTTATAGGATCAAATTATTCAAACTTTCGTGAGACATTATACTAAACTGATATATAAACACGGCTAAATACTCACGTATATTCGTCATCATCATCATACCAGTACCACTCATCCTGATGAAGGGCCCCCGATGGGCTCGAAACTAGACGGTGCCGCAACCGTAAGAATATACGTGAGTGTTTAGCCGTTTTTATATATCAGTTCCTTTATAGGATCACTTTGTTGTCCGTCCGTCTGTTTGTCAAGAGCCTTTGCTGAGCAACGTGTGAAGGTATCAAGCTATGAATTGAAATACTCACGTCTACTGTCCCTTTGAGCTGATAAATAATTAAACTTCTATATTATTGGTTTGTACGGAATCCTCGATGCGCGAGTCCGACTCGCACTTGGACGGTTTTTTCTGTAATTTGGTTTAACACTATCAAATTATCAAAATAAATAGTACTCTGTCCCATAAACTCGTAGTTATATAACATACAAAGGTATTTTAAAACAAACCTCGTTTCCGTGTCAGAAATCCCCTTCACTTACAACATAAAGAACCGTAACACAAACATTGATCTAGTTTCAAATATAATCAAATATTACATGTTTAATACCGTCTAAGATAAGCGAATAAGCGTTTTTGCGGAGCACACAAAAAAGTAATTTTATTGCGTTGTATGGATGAAAGCGAAAAACACAAACTTAATGTGGATGAAGTAAGTAAAGCTATTTTTAATCAGAAATAAATATAAAACTTATTAATCATGAATTATGATGAAAATTTCAACCAATGACCGATCTCTATTACCAGTAACAATGTTATTGTATGTACGATTTGTATGTCCGTTCCATACGAACCAAATAGATGGTGACTTTCAGTAGCTGTTGCGTAAAAGCATACAAAAATGCATACAGATCAAAAAATACTCCTCGGGAGTACAAAGAATTGTGTAGAAAATGGACAAGAAATACAAAAATAAAAAATAAAAACGCAAACTCTTCATACTTGCGCCAAATACAAATCAATTAGTGTCTTAATGTTAACATGATTTCAATATTTTAATAAAAACTGTTGTTGAGTTAAATTTACATTTAATTTTTTTAGGGTTCCGTAACTCGAAGGGAAAAAGGAACCTTTATATAATCATTATGTTCGTCAGTCTGTCTGTCAAAAGTATTTTTTTTACATTGAATGACGTTTATTAAACAACATTAATTATTAAATGATTTCACTCGACTCTTGAAGATCTAATCGGAAATATGCATGTTATAATTAAGTACAAAACAGTACACAGTACAAACTGGGTTAAGTATGTAATATTATCTTTATTAAGTCATTATCTGTTCCCATTTTAATATTTCTAATTAACCGATATGATCTTGAAACAGTTTTGAATACTAAGAATTTTTTTTTGCAATGTTAATTGAGGAAAGTAGTTTATTGATGACATGTAATTAAGCAATCAGTTAGGGTTAATAAAATCCAAGGTCAAACATTACTATTATACTAATATAAATGCGAATGTCTGAAATTATAGATGGATGTTTCTTAGAAGGGATCTCCAGAGTGGCTTTTTTATATCATAAGGTGGAAAACGAGCGAGCGGTCACCTGAAATCGCTAATATAGCGAAGTGACCGTTGCCCATAGACATACGCAATTGCATATGCGTTGCCTACCTTTAATCGACGGAGGAGAAGATGCACAGAAAGAAAACATTTTCATGCCTCCTCTCATCCGGAAAGTCCGCTTCCATTTCCCATCTTTTCCTTATAAGAAAAAGGGTGGGAAGGGAAAGAGGACTAAATTAGGCCTCCGGGACGCACATTCATCAGACGAAACGCGGAATAGCTTCCATTTGACGCCTGTCTTCTGTGTGGTCGTGGTATTTCACCGGGCGAGCCGGGACAATTCGTGCGAAGATGTTAAAGCGGGCTCTACCACTGTCAAATGCTATGGCTGCATGGATCTCGCCAAAATTCGTCGTAGATGTGGTAGTCTGGAAGAATACGTAGCCTACATAGTGTTTTGTTAATTCCGCGCGGACGGAGTCGCGGGCGACAGCTAGTTAACTACAAGCTACAAACCAATGCTAGGTATTTTCATCTTAATGATTTTGTTATGATTACTTTGGTGGCTAATTGATCGTAATTAGACCATCATTCAATGTCTATGATTGTTTTGGATCAAAAATATCTTATCGCTCTTCTTCTCCATATTAACTTTAACTGTGTCAAATAGCGTGTTTGTGCGTGTTTCGCTTTATTTTCTTGAGAAGGGGTACATTATACTGAAGATGCATAGGTAAAATAATTTTGCCTCCACATAAATGTTTTATTAATTCAGAATTTATAATTTTTTTTACCAGTTAAACTAAAGCTGAATTCAAAGGAAAACCGCAAAGTTTAAATACATATCATTTACAAACTTGAAGATTTCGAAATCGTGTATATAGAGTTCATTCCAGGTACTATATAAAGTGGATATATATCGAAATGCTCAAATGTTGAAGGAAAATGTCATGAATACCATCCTTTATTTCTAAGTACCTAATAAAAACGATAACGCATAATGGCCGCCGCACACGGATAGATTCTGACTGATCGCAGTTCGTTGTCCCTAATAATAACACGGTAGCACCTGACTGCTACAAGTCGGCCGTATAGTATGGCTACCCTAATTGTGATTAAAAGAAAAATCAAATAATTGTCTTTAACACGACTTTGTGTTGTTTCAAACATTTTTGTGCTGTCCCAAAAACTGGGAACGATTTCGAAGCTCTTTTGGTTTTGTAAATGTTTTTGGACGACAAAAGTATAACATTCGATTTCACATGTAATTTCTTTTCCTTAATTTTATTACATTTAATCCAATGCAAATAAGTTTCTTAGTCACATTTTCGTGCTTTAAAAGTAGTTGAATGGGAAAACTGCGCTTTTAAAATAAATGTTTTTATCAGCAACTTTCCTCATTTCGTGTACATTTTAGTTCATATTTTTGTAACTGTAGTGATTCCTACTGAATCATTGATAGAACTGCAATAAAGGCTTGGTTATTCCCCTTTC